GATGACCAACTTAATGAGTCAATCTGATATATAGTGTACATTAATGACTATTTTACTAAACCACTACAAAAGTTATCATATGGGCCAAGTGGGAGAATGTAAGATTATTTATTAATTGTGTGGCCCACATGATTTAGACATGTGGTATATTTTATTAATTAATGGTTAAGTAAGTAGATATCATATTAATAAAATATTATTTGGTCAACTTATTAATTACCTTTTTGGTAATTAATTATTGAAGAAATGTTTTCCTATTTGTTCCTTACTTTGATGGAAAGTGAATATTAAGTTACTAAAAGAAAAACTAGTCATCTCTCTGCCTTTATAAAAGTGCATATATTCCATCAATTATATACGCTAATGAAAGCAACATGTATAATATTTGTGTGTGCAAAAGGCCAAGATAGGGAAATCAATTTTCACGCTTTGCCTATTGTTTGGAGTTGTAGCTTAGTTCGTTGTTAAATGATCTCGACGTTGGATTGATCTCAACAAGGTTTGCTATCACAGATCGAGGTATTTATATTTAGGCAAACTACAATGACCTCCCCTGAGGTTTGGATTATATACAAGTAGACCTGATTATTATATTATTAAAAAATTAAAATATATAGAAATGACAAATCACCATTTTGCCCACTCTCTATCCCCTTATCTCAGAGCGCTTCCGCTGCTCAAATTCTCGTCGACGCTGATGATTGTGCGGTGAATGGGATAAACGGAATCAGCGGTGAACTGCGGCCGTGAGCTTACGGATTGGAAGAAGCTTGGCTGTGAGCTTGAGGTTTGGGAGAAGCTCGGCTGTGGAGAGAAGTATGATATGGCCGGTGAATCTGGTAGGTGGTGCAGCGGCGGTGACGGACCGGCGAGGATGAAGATGGGCTCGGCTGTGTCGGCTCAGACGTTTCGGCTGTAATTGATGGCGGGCGGTGGTGAAAAATTCACGACGAGCAAGGATCTGGGCACGGTGATGGCTGCCGTGACTGGTTTGGAAGCTCAGCGGCGGTGACGGATTGCCCTCCAACCACCACCTACCATCGCTACCTCTAACACGCCGACCCGTTTTTACCAACAACCACCATCGCCGCTACCACCCAATCTGAGACCCATGTCACCGCCACCCCCACCACTTTTTCCATCCGATCTTAATTAAACCCATGAATAATACAATCAAACCACGATTAAACCCAATTCGCCGGAATCGCGACTGATTCATAGTCTCGTCGCCGGAATTGCGACTGATTCACAGTCCTCACTGCTGTTTTATTCCCGCTGCTAGTCGCCATCGCATACCACACCGCCTTCTCCCATCCGGACTCGGTCTTCTAAGCCGTTGCCTCCCGCGTCTGCAACAACTTCAGATTAAAAAAAACCCAGAAAGTAACAGTGAATAAAATAAAATTAAAAATTAAATTATAGAAATATATATAAACAGAGAGAATTATGAATCTATATATCTATCTGACCTTGGGATTTAAGAACAAACAGAACTCCGGCGTCGAGCTCTTTGGCAGAGCTAACGGTACCATTTTCTTTATTTCTCGGGAGCAGTACATCTTCAGAGTTGGGAGCAAAAGTAGTTTCCATCCCCATATGTGTGTGTGAGAGAGACAGACAGAGAGAGGTTTATGAACAATAACAGATCTGTTTCTGGGTTTGAGGATAATACGAAAGTGGTGAAGGTGGGCTGGAGAGAGACAATGGTGAGTGGGTTTAAGGGTAGTTTGGTCCATTTAACATGAATTTTATTTTCATTTATTTATATTACAAGGGTAATAACGTCTTTTTACGTTGTTGATGGGCATTTTAGTCACTTCAAACAAATTTTTTGATAAAAAATATTATTTATTGTACAGAAGGGAGGTCATTGCAAAATAGTGAAAATCCCAGGGGGTTGCATTACAACAAAATGGCAAACTTCAGGTTTAGTTGCAATTAGTCCAAACCTCAGGGGAGGTCATTGTAGTTTGCCCTTATATATAACTATATTTATACATTATAGGAATGTGAAGATAATGAAGTTCTATGATCTTGTGATTTATGTTTATTTGTGATTAATGATTTGCACGAATAATTAAAGTTTACAATGAGAAGTTCGAATGGGTGACGAAGGTTGCGTGCATCAATCCGAATTAAACAATGAGCTATTGAAACTTGCATCCTTTGTATTTGTAATAATGAACCACTGCAGGCTCCCCCATTGTTCATCTTTCTCTGCTGTGCTGCCTCCACCTTCCCTCTCTCTCTCTCTCTCTCTCTCTCTCTCTCTCCTTTCCTGTCAGTCATCACTTCTTCTGGCTAATGGTTATGGAGGAGATGAGAAAGATAATGAAAAAAAAAGGAGATTAGTAGTGTTGATTTGTCTTTTTCACAACAGTAATTTTGGAATTCAATAATAAATTTTTAAAGGACTTAATAGTTACTTAATGGTTTGAGAGGTCAAGGTAATTTTATAAAAACACATTATTTTTTAAACTTTAATCCCAAACGGAGAGGCCGGAGTAATTTACCCTTTAATTGTCAATGCTTACTGTTGGATTGATTTATGGGATCAATTATTTATTTATTTATATATTTTTGGTCAACAATGACATTCTAATGATTAATAACGGGACACATGTAAATTTTTTAGGACTCGAACTCTCAAGTTTTTGTGATGTGAGAATCTTGCCGCTAAACTATTTCATTGAAAGGAGAATATTGGGTACCCCAAGGGTACCCCGTCAGCTTGTCCACCTGGTACCCTAATCCAATAAAAACATGACAACTGGCTAACTTTTCCACCTCAGCTTCCTACTTAACATGCCATTAACGAAGACGACGTCAACTTTGTTATAAAAAAAAAATAGCGTTGACCGGATTAAGGAATCATCTTCACCATCGCTGGCCCCACCAACCAGCAGCCATCGCCGAGCACAAAGTTCATTCTCGGGTAGCCAAGAAATGTCCCTTATGATCTCGCCGAGTTGGCTCACCAACGAGTCTGAGCTAAAGACCCACAAGAATTAAAGATTTTGGAGCGATTGAGAGAGACCCAGATGAGAGAATTGCTTGAATCTGTACGGCGGAGTTATGAGACATACGCCATAGTTTTGAAGGTCAGAGCGCTGCCGGTACCAGAGAAGATGGCGCGTCGAGAACCGGTTGATTTGGTGATAGTATTAGATGTGAGCGAAGCGTGACGATAGAGAAATTGCAGATGATGAAACACGCGATGCGATTGATCGTGTCGTCTCTTTCATCCGCCGATCGTCTCTCCATTGTGGCTTTCTCGGCGAACTCTAAGAGGTTGTTGCCACTGAAAAGAATGACGGTGAACGGACGGTTATCGGCGCGTTGAATCACCGACGCACTTGTGGCAGGCCAAGGCTCGAGTTTCACCGACGCGCTGAAAAAAGCAGCGAAGGTGTTAGAAGACGTTCACGACGGGCCAGTCTCTGCCGGTAAATCGGTGATGGAAAGGCGTCAATCCTTCGTCGTCTGTTCCACGCACTACTCGCACATCAAGATCCTGTACACGCCTTTGGATTCAGCCAAGGTGGTGCGTACGGCGACGCCTTCGCCAAATTATGGTCGGTTTACTGAGCGCCGCGGTGCAGGATTTCCGTCTACAGCTCTGTTTCGCCTCCGGTTCGCTTTGGCGAAGATCGCAGCGGTTATTCACACACCGGTCAGCCCAGCGCTCTCGGATCCGGTTGGATTTGACTCGGTGAGCTATATGCCGAAGAAGATAGGTTTCATAATATATATTTTTTTAACGAAGTTAACGATGTTCCGTTAGTGGCATGTTGAGTATGAAGCTGATGTGGAAAGTTAGCCAATTGTCATGTTTTTATTGGATTGGGATACCAAGTGGGACAAGCTGACGGGGTAAAATATTCTCTCCTCATTGAATTATAAAATTTCTCATTAATAATAAATTGCATATGAATATATTCATAATAATTTGTGGGATTATTATCAGTTCAGATCGGATAAAAATTAATCTTATCTGATTTAAGGTCAAATTCAACCTAATCCTGAGTCCTGACTGAGTTCAATCGCTTTAGAGATCTGTTTTCAGGTGTGTGTTGAACCTTGTAACAGCCTAGACCTTTGGTTGATCTACCTGCTCGTTGACTCCGGGCGGCCTCAATAACATGTGATGGGCCCAATTTTAATTTGTTTCTCACTTGGGTCTGGCACGCTACACTTACTCACGGGATTGTTGTCATGAAATGGACTACCAGCATGTGGGCCACTTCTCGGTTACATCATGCGAGTTCCTGTCGTTGATTAAATCAACCTTTTTTTTCCCCACCACTAACACAATCCTTTTTCTAACTTTCAAATCAATTAACAAAATCCAAAATCTCTTGCACCAAATTCCCAAGTCCCACCAAAAAAAAAAAAAAAAATGGACGGTTAAGGGTTGTACCTTAGTGGTCCTTTTTTGCCTTTCAAAATAGAATAATATGTGTTTAAATTCTCCTAAAAAATGCACCATTCTTTCAACTAAAAAAAAAAATTTCAAAACTTTTTACAATCTAATACGAGTTTTTATTAAAAACTACGATTGTAACGTGAATTAAAAAAGTGGAACCCATGTATTAGATAGCACTAATACTATTAAAAAAAATTCAAAATAATGCAAAAGTGAAGTGTGAACATCCATAGCTAAAGTGGGAACTTTTTTTTTTTTTTTTTTTTTTACTTATAAATATAAATAACTAATTTAATTTAAAAGAAACAAAAAGTAAGTATATATCATTTTATATTAAATTGTTAACCAATGTATACTTGTGGTCTTTGAGAATGGGCTCCGCACTGCTACGTTTGCGGAATGGAGCCGGGCCCTGGGTGTTGCCGATGTCCAAGCTGTTCCCAGCTTCTAATATGGCCAGGCAGGCTCGCCAGAGTCGCGTTGCATAATTTCCTCGAGATGGGCGAGGCCCATGGTTTACAAAGCCCAGCGCGTGGAACAGCAAACCCACTCGCTAATCTCGAACTTGCTCTAGAATTCTAGAAGCGTCTTTTGACTACTTTTCTTTTCCATAAAGCCCCCCTGATTAAAGCTTCTAGGGTTTTTATCTTCTCCTCCATTTTCCGAAGCAGCTCTACCTAAACCAGTCCCACTTAACCTTCTAAACCTATCTTCGATTCAATCCGTTTCAGGGGTATTTTTTTTGTTTCAATTTCATATGTTGAGTTATTCAATTATGCTTTTATATGGAAACTACGCGTATTCCATTTATTGGGGACTGTATCGAGTTATAATTATGTGATTGTTGTTGTAAGCGTGTGTTTAATTGGGGTTGTGGTGTATTTTTTTACACAGGAATGGCGACAGCTCAGCTTACTGCGTCATCGATTTCATATAGAAGTCTTCCCTCATTTGAAGGGCTTAAACCATCCACAGTTAAGTTCTCCTCGGTTGCACCTCTGAGGCAGAATCTCAAGTCCTTTCGTGGCCTTGTTGTCAAAGCTGCCACTGTTGTTGCTCCTAAGGTATTGCCTTCTACACTGTTCATTCATACATGGTTATTTTTGTTCACATTTCTTCTATTCCAGGTGAATTTTTTTGGGAAATTTTGGCTTGGTAATTTGCTGCAAGACTACATTTTTCGATATACAATGTTTTACGAATTGGGTTGATGTCTGGTGGTGGTATATGAGTAGGATGAGTAATGGGATTTTTGGTGGTAATATGAGTGGGATAAGTAACAGGATTTTTTGTGATGTATGTGCTCTTGATTTCTGGTCTTAAATGGCAAATTCTCTGTAAAAATACTCGACTTATCCTGTCAATCCTTGTAAAACTGTGAATTTAGGATCTGGTTTTTATATTTCATTCATGGTTTGATACCCCAAATTCTGCGAGGGACATATACTCTTTTTTCGCCCCCACCCCTTTGATAGAGAATTTCAATCTTTTCTCTTCATTTGGAAATTGGCAGCCTTCCTTTGCTTTTCAGCAATTGTCTTCAACTGGATCCCCTAATACAATTGCATCAAATTGATTAAAAAAAATTGGCTTATTAAAGTTTCTCTTTCAGACTTTATAGTTATTTGTTTTCCAATTTTCTTTTTCTGAGTCTTGGTTGAGATTTAATAGCTGCTGGAAATGTCAAATGTTCTTTCAAACGAACTGTTGTCGATGCATTACAAATGAAGACATATCATGAATATGGTATCCTTATTGTGGCTCATTTGCTCTGACGGTCTTCTGATTCCTCAGTACACTGCCATCAAGCCATTGGGTGATAGAGTATTGTTGAAGATTAAGACTGCAGAGGAAAAGACTGTAGGTGGTATCTTACTTCCAACTACAGCGCAAACAAAACCTCAAGGTGGTGAGGTGGTTGCTGTTGGAGAGGGTAAGACGATTGGAAAGAACAAGGTGGACATTAGTGTAAAGGTAACTGTTTGCTTTATTGTTACTCAGTATTGATGTCTGCTTTATGTTTTTTTTACTAATTAGCTTTCTGTATAGACTGGTACCCAGGTCGTGTATTCCAAGTATGCAGGGACTGAGGTGGAGTTTGATGGGACAAATCATCTGATACTGAAAGAGGACGACATTGTTGGTATTCTTGAATCAGATGATGTCAAAGAGATGAAGCCCTTGAATGACAGAGTCTTAATCAAGGTTTGCCAGCCTTCTAGTTATTTGCTTTGTTTTTTTTTTTTTAGCTATGTTCTTATGTAATGTATGCTCCATGCATTTGTGAGTGAGTTCTGTCACTCCTATTGTGATAACTGTAAGCTAGTTCACTAAATATGATATATATATTTGTATAAGGCCACCATTGATTTCATATTTGATTATACAATTATGGAAGTGGCCAACGGATCTGCTTTCTTGATTCTACAAATATGAAGATCCGGTATTGTTATCACTTATCAGTGTGGTGATAAAACACCCCCCAACCCAAGAAGAAAACAGCTCACTTCTGTTATTTGTTATTTTTGAAAGTATGTTTCTATATTTACTTTCTTTCATCTCTGATTATGCATCATCTATTCAAATCTCTTGAACCATTTTAGATTCTAAAGTCATAATATATGTTGTCTTGTATTAAAAATTTGAAACAGGTTGCTGAGGCCGAGGAGAAAACTGCTGGGGGTTTGTTGCTAACAGAGGCAACGAAGGAGAAACCTTCCATTGGCACGGTAAGTGATATTTTCCTTAACTCAAATTTCAGTAAAATGAGCATTTTTAGTCCACAATAACCATTAATGGGGAAAAAGGCGCCAATGTCCTCCACCGTCTACTGTTACTACTGGTCCACTACCAACTGTTACTACTGGTCCACTACCAACCACCAACAGCAGCTTGCTGTATGGTATCCTAGGAAGCACAGACACGCCTAAAAGTGCAAAGAAACCGTGTCGGTGTGTCCGACACGTGTCCGAATATTTTATATATTTTTTTGATATTCGGACATGTTAACGTGTCCGACACGCATGTCCCATTCTTTGGGGATTTTAAAGAAAGTTTTAGAAACAATATTGAGTTGAAGTCTAAATATTTTAAAAGTACTTCTTGTTTCATAAAACAATTTTATATTCAAACAATTAGATATTTATTCTTATATTTTAGTTCAAAAGTTTGAACTCTTGCACGATCATCTGTGACTCTCTTGTTATCCCACCAACCAAACTTCTCTACAGGTGAATGGTTTCTAAATCACTCTCCTCTTTCTCCTCCTCTCGTATTCTTTGTCCTCTTTTCTTTCTTCTTTTTGTTCGTCACAAACCTTAAATAATTCTTTTTTTCCCTTGTTCTTGATCTTTTTTTCGATTCCATGCTTTCTTAGATGGTATCCCTACGATGATCCTTGCGTGTACACTGTTGCACACACGATTTTAAGGTGGTTGGAGTTCATGATTGATTTAATTGTATTTTGCTGGATGGCAGGTGATTGCTGTAGGGCCTGGTCCTCTGGACGAGGAGGGTAACAGAAAACCACTTACAGTTTCTCCAGGTAACACCGTTTTGTACTCTAAATATGCTGGAAATGACTTTAAGGGCACCGATGGCTCGGACTACATAGCTCTTAGGGCTTCGGATGTGATGGCGGTGCTCTCGTAGTTGTCTATCAATTCGATTTTGTTTTTGTTTTTGTTTTTCCCAGTAGCAAATTTTCCATAGGACCATTGGGATGTCACTGTATCCAGCTTTATATTTATATCTGAAATTATGGTTGGAAGGCAATTTGTAGTACTTTGTATTGTTTGCTCAATCTATGCCTGTCATTGTTTTATGGAATGAAGGAATTGTTTTTGGATGAGTTGTTTTCAGCTGGGAGTGGATTTGTTGAAAAATGAGTGGACCTACACGGTCTACACCTGATCTTTAAAAAAAAAAAAAAAAAGGGAAGAAGAAGAAGAAGAAATACCTGAATCTTTCCCCCAAGGATTAATTGGTGTCCTCTCTCTTTTAGTGGCTTAATTATAAATTCTGCAAGTGCAATAATCAAGATAGGAAAGTCAAATCAACATTATCCACTTAAATGCCTCTTAGCATAAGCCTTCCAAAAATTTCAATACAAAAAAATCAACCTAGGAGGTTATAAATAATGGGCTACATAGTGCGGAATATCTCTCTCCTAATCATAAAATCCAGCTGCTCCAATGAAGATGCGATACAATCCAGTACTTCTATTGTGCAGCTAGAGTAGTAGCACAGTGCTATTTGAGTTTAAACACACACACACACATTACTAAACAACTTAAAATCATGCTGCTGCTTGTAACGGGATTACGCTTCTGATGGTGAATGACGAAATATTTTCTCATGCTATAGATGGCTATCTCTATTTTAAGGTATTTTCAACGGGCGCTGTTAAAATCAAAATGCCGTATTTTTCACACACAATGCTAGGGTAGGGTAGGGTAGGCTCATGCTGGAATCAGCTAATGGGACCTGAATCTTATGGATATATATATATATTATTAACCCATTCTTGTAATCTACATAGATCATGCCAAAGCTAGCTTGCATTCCATTAAAAAATCCAAGACATTTACAGTCATCTTATGGTAACATAAACATATAGTAATGATCATTTGAGCAATTTAAATTATCATCTTTAAAATTTCAAGTTTTTACGAAATTATGTAATGTTTTACTATATATATGAGAACGAACGAAGATGGCATCTCGCAAGAAACGAAGATGTTTATCAGTGTTAAACATGGTAATCCTTTCTAATTGTATTAGTAGTTCGAGCTTTTTAAAGTGTTAATATCACATCATTTGCCTCGTCTACCCCAATTAATATGTTGACATGTTCATGTAATTTGAAGGCCTTTGCAAAAAGCCTTTCGATGGAAGGGATTTTTTTTTTTTTTTTAAAAAGTTAGTTTGGTGGATGTAATTTTTTTGAATGCTTTCAACAGTTAACATGCTTTTATTTCTCTCCAAAAATATCAAAAGAACCCTATTGTTAACAACATGAACCTCTAAATGAACTAAAATTCACTTTCATGCATTTGATTTGAAGCAAACTATTGTTGGACTTCCCACAGATATTTTTTAGAAATAAAAAATTGAAAGAGCAACCTATCAAGAGTTCTTATGCCATGTTTGGTTGGAGAGAAGAATTGAGGAGGGATTGATGAGAAGGTGGATAAAAGAAGTTTTATGTATTTGGTTGAAGGGAAGGGAACAAAGGGAGGAAGCAAGGAGGAACGAAACATTCCTTATTCTCTTGTAATTCTTTATCCGCTCAAAATTGGTGAGGGGAAGAGAAGAGAGAAAGCATAATGATATATAACCCACAAGTTTTTAATTTTCATTTTTAACCTTCTTGTTGCATAATTTAGAATGGATATATAATTTATACAATTTTATATAACTAGGGTATATTAGTAAAGACAATATAAAACTATCTTTCTCTTCTTTTTAACCAAATAAAAAAAATGTGTCACCACATTTATCTTTTTTATTATCCATTCTATCCAACCAAATAAAAAATGGGGAAGACACCTTCCTTTCCCTCTAAGGATGCTTCATGCATCTCTTATCTTCTCCCTTCCATTCATTTTTTCATCCCTCCAACCAAACAAAGCATTAGACTAATCAAAAAAGTATTTTAGGATTCAATTTGAATGGAATTAGAAGACTCCAAAGATAACTTGTTTGAATAGGAAACATATTATTATAATTGGAATTTGAATGGGAGTAATTTGAATGGAAGTAGAAGACTCCAAAGAGAACTTGTTTGAGAAACATATAATTATAATTGGAATTTGAATGGGACTAGAGGACTCCTTCACGTTTATGTACAGATTAATAGATGGGCTAGTTTCACGAAATAAAAAAGGTATTCACCGTTCATCTACTGCAGATCAGTTGTACATAAAATTTGTTATTTAAACCACGAATGTGATAATGGCAGTAGTAAAAAATCACCTTTTGTCGATTTTGTTCATATCCTGATAATTTTAGCGTAGAACGACCGTGGAGAAAAAAAGAAGGGTTGCAATTCAATAAAATATTAGGGTTAATATCGGTAATATTTTATTATACGTAAAGACAATTTTATAAACTAGGTTTTATTACTTAAAATATGGCTAGTTTCCCGAGAAAGTCATTTTGAAAGCCTTTGGTTTTTTTGTTTTTTTTTTTTTTCGCTTTCTTCTAAGGGGTTTCAATACTTCCACTTTTGCCAGAAGCCCGTTACCATCATTCAACAAACACTCGTTATTTGTTTGGAAGGCCTTTTTGGTCTTGAAAGTCCCTTAGAGCATCTCGAGTTTATAAATAGGACAAGTTCATCCTCCAAGTGAGGTGAACTAATAAAATTAGAACACATGTTCAAAAAATTTAAAAGTTAAAAGATAGGTAATACTCATTTCTAACTTGCCAAACCCCTCCTCCTTTTATGAAGGGGATGACAATTATCTGATCTCACATCAATTTCTTCTCTTTCTCCTTTTCTCTCTTCCCACACAACGTAATTTTAGCTTAAAGAGTAGCAAATATTTCCTAGAGTTACATATGTTGATTCAATTATCGTCATAAATACTACAAGTCACTAAAAGCTAGCACACTTTCTGTTATTGTCTTGTCTATCTAGACATTATAGTAATGTTACATTATCTTATATATAAAGATGTGAGAGAGATGAGAAATTTGATATGTGAATTCACCATCAATCTTCTTCTGAGTTTGGAATCTCACTTTAAGGAAGAAGTATGATGGTGCTGACAATCATGTATCATACTAACTCAATTATATTAAACTAAAAGAAATGGATTTTGATTTTTGGGTAAAAAAAAAAAAAAAGAATGAGAAAAAAAAAAAAAAAAAACAATACACTACTCTAGAATGAAAACTCAAATCGATCGAGTCTCAGTTGAAAAAAAATAATTATAGATGTACAAATATAAAATTTGAACATGCCTAGTTAGCAAAAGAGAAAAACGAAGATCAGGGATTTGCGAATGGAGGTAGGGGATGAAAGAACGTCGTTTATGGAGTGTAGAGAGAGAGAATTCATTAGATGGGAGCTGTGATTCAAAAGGAAAGGAATGAGGGAAAAAAACACACACAGTTTAACCAGTAAGAAATAGGTATTACCTATCTTTAAGTTTTTTTAAATATTTTTAAATAGGTGTTCTAACTACATTTGTCCACCTCAGCACTTATAAATAGGCGAATATAGTTAGGGGAGGACCTAACTACTGTGGTTATAAATATGGCTTGTGGATATATAGTTCAATGGACAGTGCTTAGCTACTCACCAGTGAGTAATTTTACCCTACTCACCTCTTATGTATTCCAATAATAAAATAACACGTCAGCTTTAATAAAAAAATCAGCAAAATAATAAAAAAGAAGAAGAAAGAAATCGGATCGACTACCAACAGGCCTGTGGCCTAGCGGTACCAAGCTCCTATTTTTCAAAGAGAGGTCAAGAGTTCAAGCCTCAGTAGAGACATGTGTGTGTGAGTATCAACTAGGAAAAAAGAAATCGAATCGACCCGTTTTAATTGGGTAATCACCATTTCTCTTTTCTTTCTCTCTTTCATCGATTCGCTGTACACTTCTTTTGAAAAATGATCCCTGTGAGTAACTGTTTCTCTGTGTATGCTTGTGTCGTGTGAGGGCCATGGTTTTTGAGTTGGTTCGATTCTTTAGGAAGTCATGGTTTTCTTGGGATCATGCCTTCAAGAAGTGATTTATTTCTCAAGGATGGGATGATCACAGGCTCAGCTGCTGCCGCTTCTCTGTTTTAATTTTGTGGATTATGTCGCCTTCTCTGTACATTGTTGTATGTGACCTGTGAGGGATGTGCTTGTGAGGGCCGTGGCTTTAGGTCTTCTCTATACACTGCTTCTCTGTGTATGTATGTGGTTTTTGAGGACCGTGGACTTGGTTCATTGCTCTACTTGTTGTTTTTAAAGGTTTAGTTGTTTGTTGCGTTTTGGTGAGGGCAACCATCATGTTGGTTTCTCCATCTGCCTTCTGTTATTTTCGTGTGAAGGTATACCCTCGAATCTCCCTGTATCTTATTGTTTCATCTTATAATAAACTTTCCTCTAATTAGGAAAAAAAAAAAAAAAATCTTTTTAAAAATTAAACCCTAAATGTGCAAAGTAAAGAATTAAATCATACCTCCACTATAAGACCTAGTTGAACCCACAATTCTTATTTGCCTGTTGAGTAATGATGTTCAATGGAGCATGAAAGGAAAAAGAAAAATAACTCAAATATAAATCAGACATGTTCGCTCATTGATTGATGATGTCCCATAGAGATGAAAAGAAGAAGAAGAAGAGTTGAGAGAGAGAAGGGCGTGGGTTTGGGAAGCCATGAAAAAGAGAAATAAAAGAGAAAGGGTGAAGAAGAAGAACAGTAGAGAGAGGAGAGCGTGGGTTTAGGAATCGACGAAAGAGAGAGAGAGAAAAGAGAAAGAGTGATTACCGAATTAAAACTGGTGGATCTGATTTCTTTCTTCTTCTTTCTTTATTATTTTGCTGATTTTTTTTATTAAAGCTGATGTGTTATTTTGTTATTGAAACATATAAGAACATCTCCAATACTAAATGCCATTGTGGGCTGCCAAATCTATATTTTGAGAGAAACTACAGTGTCAAAATATTATATTTTAGCAATTTTGCTCCAATGGTACATTTCATCCAAAATGTTATATTTTAGTACAACAACCATTCTTTTCAACTACTATTCCCAACTACAATTTTCAACTACCAATTTTCAACAACCATTTTTTTTTTTTTCTTTTCTTAAATAATTGAATATATGAAAGTGAATTTTGAGTTTAAATTTTATATACGTGTAAGGTGTTGGATGGGTTTTTGAATTGTTGGACAACTTTGGGTTGAAATTATATATGTGTGTGGAATAACTTTTGGATTGAGATTATATATTTTTGTTGGAATTTCAATGGCGTGATGGCAACGATGGCAGAGAGCTTCGGAACGGCTGCCGACGAGCAAGGAGAAGCTCGGATGAGATGGGCAGGCCGTGGAGTCAGTTCCTTTGACGTGGGAATGGAAGTCTGATTTTTCTTCCTCTGGATCAGACATTTTCTCGGATTGCAGTGAAAAGGAGAGAGACGGATATGATTGAGGAACGGCGTCGTATGAGAAATAAGTGGTCTGCCAAAAAAATTTGACAGCCTCTATATTTGAGAGGAAATTTGAGAATCTCAAAATTTGAGAGCTTATTGGAGAACTCTTTTTTTACTCACCTCTCATATTTTGAGTTTGAGATCTCAAATGAGAGAGCATTGGAATTACTCTAAAGGGTGAGTAGGATAAAACTACTCACCAGTGAATAGCTAAGCATTGTTCTAGTTCAATTAATCAGTTTTTCTCGTATGGTTGAGAAGTGAGGGTCAAGGCAACTAATTATCATAACACATACTTACCATTCCTTTTAACATATAATATAGTTACTTAAATTAAAAGTCATTGCTTAATGCTGAGATACCGAGTACGATAAACGTGGGATTAAAAATTTATCCAGTCTCTCCCTCCTAGCAACTATATCAAATCATTTTTCTCCCAAAAAAAATAAAAAATAAATAAAAGCGCGCGCACACGTGACGTGATTGTTTTGTGGAAATGACGTGGCAGGTAAAATCCCAAATGACGTGTCTAGGCAAAATATGAAGTAGCCCGGTCCCTTAAACAATCTTATCTCAATGCCAGCAGAAGTCCGAAGTTGACCCTTGTGTGGTCGTAGTTTGATTTGGATTAGAGAGAACGAACAACTAATCAAATTGTGAAAAATGTGTCACTTATTTAAACCATTTGGCAGAAAAAACAAACTTGTCAATTAGTATTGACATGGGTGATATTCCCGGTACATATGATTGCATTTTCTTTAGCACTCTTTTCTTACTAAATGTATATACAAATATCATACTTCATCGGCAAACTAACTATTTATAATTCTTTCAGTAATAAATTACAGTAGTTACCCAAAAAAAAAAAAAAAAAGTAATATTCGGAATCACAATAAATGTGATTTTGAGATACGAGTAAGGAGTATAATACGGATTACACATTATAAGAGACATTATAAAAGTGATTTGATAAACTTCTTGATAATGTTAGTCTAGTCCTAAACAAAAGCGATGAGAATAAAAGACCAAAGCAAAAGTTAGATCGCACAAATAAGCTAATTTTCATGTTTCTTTACTCCAAAATTATTTAATCAATGGCTTTTGCCGGTGTGTGTTTTTCTCAAATTAGTCTACAATTAATTCACAAATGATGTTTGTTGCTCGTATACGAGTGTGATAAATTAACACCGGGTTAAAACCAAAGGCAATCACTTTTTGTAACAAATGGAAAAACTAAAATTAATATCAAAAATTAGAATTTATCCACTCTCTCCTAACATTTCGCATGGTTAAGATGAGCAATGATGAGAGGTTTTCATCACCTGCATTTGAGTTTGGAAATTGCACAAGTTAGCCATTTATGCACTTTAATTGGGCAATCTATATATTGCCATGTTTATCAGTAAAAAATTTACAATACTTCACGGTATTTGGACTATTGATATTCTTTTCAACTAAAATTTTATACTTTTTTATTTTTTATAAATGAAGAGGTTGATAGTGTCAAATAGGGGTAACAAATAGGGGTGACAATATTTGACACGACACGCTAACACGATACGAACACGACACAAGATAAGCGGGTTTGGGTTTGGACTAATCGTGTTTGTGTCATAATCGTGTCGACACGGATTGAGCCGCTAACTAAACGTGTCATGTTCGTCTGACTCTGTAAACACGATTATGACACGATTAACCCGATTAACTAAACGTGTCAGGTAAACGTGTCGTGTTCGTGTAAAAAATGACCCATTTTGCAAAATTTGTAAAATAAATATGTCGTATTCGTGTCAAAAATGACTTAAACGTATCTTTTTGTGTCGTGCCAAGTCTTGATTCGTTTATTAAACAAGTTATACGTGTCGTGTCGTGTTATACATATAATAATCGTGTCGTGTTCGCGTCAACCTTAATCGTGTCCGTGTCGTAATCGTGTCGACACGAACACGACACGCCAACACAAATTGCCACCCTTAGTAACAAATTACGATATGATATGAATTAAAAGGATTTGGATTTGACATAAACGGATTTGGATTATAAAAGGATCGACATGATTAACCCGCTTACTTAACCGTGTCGGATTACTGGATTAGGATTGAGGGGTTCAACTCGTGTAACCTGTTTATAACCCATTTAACTTAACATGTTATAATTGTGAATATAACATATGTAGTATATTACCTGTTTAAACTCAATTATTATGGATAGTTAAATCATTTAAACATAAAATTTGTCTATGCCTTATAATTTTTCTTTTTCTTTTGAATATTTGGATTAATTATGACATTTTTTTATTATTTAGTATTTAATTAAATATTAAATATCTCGTTTTGATAAATAGGTCATTAAATGAATCAACACGTTTATATGTTTAATAAACGGATTGGGTGAGTGTTGAGTATTTTTGACACGATTATTAAATGGGTTGGGTTTGAATTTACTTATTTAATATAATACTCTTATATCGACACTATATAACACGAACAGGATGTACGAACACGAATTGTCACCCTTAATTTCAAGATAAATAAAAAAATTAATACTTACGTGTCAAAATATTCCACAAAGTATTGTAAAATTTTTCTTTTGTACGCAAACCCTTGAAAACTTGAAAAAAATGGTCAGACAAACATAAGTGGACTTGTAGCTGAAAGGGGTCAAAGTTTATATTCCAGACGACAAGTTTTTACCTAACTCGATGAGTGTCAAATCATTTGACCAATTAAAACTCTGACAACTGTTAACCATGTGCGTGTGTGTATAATATATGGTTACTCTACTACATTGTTGAACCATTCGGACAAAAACGTGTCAACTATTAAAAGCCAAGAAGAAGGTGTCAATTTTAACACCCATTGCTCTCAATGTTTAAACCATTCTCTTGACAAAGTCTATAATGCAATTCGACCTGTTATTGACATCATTTTTTTTTTAATTATTGGTTCATATCATATCATTCATTTGCTAAACATGCACTTAAAGAGTCCTTTTGGTTTTAACATCCGAATCAAATCCGAATTCATTCTCTTTCATCTTATCTCTTATTTATGATAAGACCATAATCTGATTTACTTTCTCCCTTTTCTCCCTCTCTCGACTTTAATTAAGATTTTTAAATCATAGTTATCTTATTATTATTATTATTATTATTATGATTCATTCAAATATAAGATTCCATTATACTAATTGTGTAATAAAAAGTAAAAAATAAAAATTAGAGAGTTATTGATTTGCAAAAGAATGTTCATTTGTCTACTCTGATTCCGTAACAAGAAATTGGTTATCCACGGACTGATTTTAACAAATCTAACATATAAAACTCATCATTTATAATGCAAATGAGTAGAAATTTAATGGCTCAAATCGCGAAAATCTCAATTAAATTTTTTTTTTTTCGTTATTTTAGTAGAATAAAACCTAAAATCAATCAACCTTTTTGAATAGATAAATTCTAAATCAGAAACAAAAATAAAACAAAAAAAGAACAAAAATACATAGAAGAGAGAGAGAGTTACAGCTTTGGTCGGGTAAAGATTAAAATTTGAGTTAAGCATGGTAGCAACTTTCTATTTTAAACTAATTCTAATTGACAATCCACAGATTTAGAGAGAGAGAGATTTGATTTGGATCAGATTTGACTCATATAACCTTTCAAATGTACTTATTCAAAACCAAATTTTGCATATTAGTTTTTTTTTTATTTTTTATTTTTTATATATATTATTTTTTCAAAGGTAAATTTTGCATGTTAGGTTGTCAAAGTCTAGGGGAATGGTCAACAAATTAATAATAACACGTGGCAAAAGGCCGATCCTACAAGTATATAAATAAGCCAAACTGAAGGAAACCTTACAAAAATATAGCTAGTGCATTAGCAAGGTCCATCAGTTATAATCAATACGGAGAATTATATTATATATATACGATCAGTTTGCAACAATATATAGAGCTAGTATTATATACAAGATCGATAGATCAGTTATATAAATATATACAATAGACTTATATAAAAGAGCAGTTATGGTGAGTAGTGCTGGTAAGGTCGACGTACTATCAACTCAAGGCAATGATTTGCTCAACCGTCGCAGTTTCCCATATGATTTTATCTTCGGAGCAGCATCATCTGCTTATCAGGTATTTTAATTTGTTGTTTCAGTTCATTAATAGCTAGCTTCTATTTGCATGCATATATTTATACATAATATATGCATGTATATTTATATATATATATGCATATATGTTCTTAATTAATTATGTACTTCCTTTTTCAGTATGAAGGTGCAGCAAATGAAGGTGGCAAAGGGCAAAGTATTTGGGATACTTTCACACAGAGAAACCCTGGTACATACTCTCTCTCTCTCTTATGCAAATTTGTACAGTAATAATATTCTTATATGGATGCATGACATGCAATATATATATATATTGTAAAATGGCAGGTAAGATAGCAGACGGGAGTAATGGCAACGTGGCGAATGACTCTTATCATCGATACAAGGTACGAGGTCAAACTTGTTTTAGTTGATGGTTTAGGTTTAACATATAAGTTTTGAGTTAATTATATTATATCATAAAAGATTTAGAGGGATTCTTCTAACCATGTTGCAGGAAGACGTGAGTGTCATAAAGAAAATGGGTCTAGATGCGTACAGAATCTCAATCTCATGGCCTAGACTTTTGCCAAGTAAGTATTGGTTTAAATGATCCATCTTATCATATATTCAATGATTCATTATATAACACAAGTTCAAGTGATCACAGATTTGGAACCATATATGTCTAATTTGTGTTTATATATATATATATATATCAGCTGGAAGACTAAGTGGTGGTGTGAACAAAGAAGGAATCAATTACTATAATAATCTCATAGACGAGCTCCTCGCCAACGGTTATGATTCAACCTATGATCACTTATTTCATCAATATTGATTAGTATATATATATATTTCATCTCAAATTGTTTATGATTTTGCAGGAATACGGCCTTTCGTAACTCTGTTCCACTGGGATCTTCCACAAGCCTTAGAAGACGAGTATGGCGGGTTCTTAAGTTCCAAAATTGTGTAAGTGGATCAATTCTCGTCTAAAGATCCTTGTTTAATTAATTACTTGGTCAATCAATCAATTGTTTATAATTTATAATCAGATCAATTTTTTATTCTTAACATATAATTCCGGCTATACATCAAACACTTTAGAAGAAAATTTTATGTTGCAGCATTAATGTTTGCATTGTTAGTTTTTTCATTTCAATTATTTGTCATACCAGCTTATGAAACAAATTTTTGGCATTGAGTGCATGTATAAGACACTGGGGACGATCTTTAATCATAGAGTTTTGCTACAAAGTCCGATGTTACTGCAAAACGATGACATCATTTTCCATTCACATTAATTAGTCCGAGAGTGTGACTACTTTTCATTAATTAATTTTCCTTGCCGTACTATATATAAAAAAACCATGTTATTCTACTTTACTGCAGGCATGATTTTATTGAGTACGCTGAGCTTTGCTTCTGGGAGTTTGGTGATCGGGTGAAGCACTGGATCACACTGAATGAACCATGGAGTTTCAGCGTTGATGGGTATGTAAACGGTACCATTGCACCGGGTCGAGGATCTTCTTCATCGCCGGGAGATCCAGGCAGAGAACCATATTTGGTGTCACATCACCAGCTTCTTGCTCATGCAGCTGCAGTGGAACTCTATAGACAAAAGTTCAAGGTTTGTACTTGAATATCATAGAATTGTCATGATCTATATAGTATGAAAACAATAGAAATTTTGTGTTAATGCCTCATAAAATTTATAAAAGAAAAATTATTTGATCCGACCCTTTCATATAAAGGTAAGTACGAAATCAGATTTAACAATGATTTTGATTTGATTAAATGATGAATGTATATAGGCAACTCAAAACGGTATAATAGGGATTACACTAGTAACGGATTGGTATGAGCCTCTCTCGGAAACTAGTGACAGTGACAAAAAGGCTGCGGAACGAGCCTTCGATTTTGCATTTGGATGGTGAGGATTATATGTGCTTTATTTAATTAATTATACTAATTTATAGCATAAATAAATTGGTATCTTGCTATGTTTTATTTTCAATTTGTGTTTCAGGTTTATGGACCCGTTGACGACAGGTGACTATCCACAGAGCATGAGATCTAATGTGGGACCTAGACTTCCAAAGTTCAAAGTAGAAGAATCAGAGATGTTAATAGGGTCGTTTGATTTTATAGGATTAAACTACTATACTGCTAATTATGCTACTGATGCTTCATCATCTACTGTTGATAATCAAAATTTCAGTTACACTACAGATATTCGAGTCACCACTTCAAGTAACTCCAAAACTAATTCTTCTTATTTAGACATTAATTTCTATTTTAATCGCATTATTATTAAAATAACCATGATATTTTGTTTTTGTAGCTGAGCGGAATGGAGTCCCTATTGGTCCAAAGGTAAGCATTTCAAATGGACATATTCACATAAGACTTTCATTTATTTATTTTTAACAGTCCAATAAGTACATATATATATATATATTTCTCATATATAACTTTTTATTCTATGTTGCAGGCTGGTTCAGACTGGATCTATGTTTATCCAGAAGGGATATATAAGCTTTTGACCTACATGAAGAAAAAGTATAATAATCCACTTATTTACATTACAGAGAATGGTAATAAATTAATGTATTAATCTATTTTATTGGTGTTCAATAAGATTAATTTTTACATTCTTTCACGAGAATTTTTTAATATATTAATTTGACAAATAAATATCTGAATTGTTTCACAGGGGTGGATGAGAAAAACAATGCCTCTATAACGATTTCAGAAGCCCGCGTTGATAAGACTAGAATAGACCATCTTGATAGGCATTTTCGTTTTATTCGGAAAGCGATCAAGTAAGTTTCTCAAAGAAATTCCATATATGTGAGAAGTAAAATTTTCATTAATTTATTAAATAGTTAGGAAATAAAGAATGAAAATTTACAAGAGTAAAAAGTGTTAATTTTTATACGTTGATATGTTACTAATAGATGATTGTATATGACTTGAATTTTTCACAGTGAGGGTGTGGATGTAAAGGGACATTTTGTATGGTCGTTGATGGACAATTTCGAATGGAATGAGGGTTACAACGTTCGATTTGGCTTGATCTATGTCGATTACAAGAATGGGTTAACAAGGTACCCCAAAGAATCGGCCATATGGTTCATGAATTTTCTGAAAAAAGATACATTGAACTCTCGAAAAAGGCCACTGCCCAATAATAATTCCTCCAGAATTCTCAAGAAAAAATAATTGTTCTCCGAACCCTCCATGTTAATTTGAATTATTAATTTTTTTCTATTTGAATTTGTATTAGGTCTAATTCCTACTGTTTTGGTTGGATTATTAGAAATTCCAAACTCTTCGTTAAATTAATGCTTATGTTCTTTAATTTATGTAATAATGTCTACGTTGATATTACGGACAGGGGAAGGGCTGCCCCCTGTGTAGCCCATTGTTACATTTGAACAAATAAAAAACTTAAATTCAAATTATTGGTATTAGGAATAGTTTGGACCATTAAAATGTGATATATATATATATATATATATATATATATATATATATATATTTTGGGATTTGAGGTTTGCCAATATCTCAAATAGACTCCTGTTTTATTTCATAATCTTTCACTTACCTTTCTGGAGGTTCTAATTTATATAATAGATTCCTTCTACTTAACCGAGACAAACCAATGCCAGCAACAGAACACTGATAGAAGGTCAGTAATGGAAACAAACATTTTATGAGCAAAACGAAAAATAATCCACTACCGTTGCCAAATTAGACTAACGATCACTTACTAGGGAAGTAAATGAATCTATTTGAGATATTGGCAAACCTAAAATAAGATAAGTGAAATCAAATAAAAAAAATTTAAAAAAATTAAGATTTTGTATTGCGTTTACTTGAGCATTCTAATAGTTGCAACGTCTATTTGTTGTAACGGCTATTTTTGAAATCAACGTATGGGGTCACTATGAGTTTAAATATTGGGCTTTTGGGCTATTTATTTTTAAGCATGTAAAAATATGGAGTATTTCCTTAGCTTGTTGGGCTATAGTTGGGTTTCTTTTTCGGACTGTTTATTTGCCCTTGGACAGTTGGCTTCTTGGCTTTTTTTTTTTTTTTGTTTTTTTTTTATGTAAATTCTCACACACACAATATAACACATTTGCTTGTCCTTCCCAAAAAAGGGTAGGAAATAGTACTCTTATTTTCTATAAATGCACAAGTGAAATGACACTAATGTTCCTATTTCATAAATAAGAAAATCATGGGCATTTTTTCTCATTTAAATAATAAAAAAAAAACAATTAAAGGAGCGCATTTATAAGAGAGTGAATATGATATCTATAAGAGAGTCAAAAACACTGGCTTTGCTGTGTCAAAAACTTAAATCACTAACCTTCTACTTTACATATATATATATATATATATATATATATAGAGAGAGAGAGAGAGAGAGAGAGAGAGATGATAGCATTTCGACAGTGTTAGTGATGTATTTTTGGTACGAGGAATTAGTAATTTGGAGGATGGAAACAGTTGAGGGATGAGATGACGTGAAAAGAAGTGGTAGTTGCATGGTCTTTCTTCTTGATGAATGTTTTTCAACATTATTAATTGTGGGCAGGTGTTGTTTGTGTGAAGAGTAAATTCAGGAATCTAGTTGGGATGATAATGGTGTTTGGCTTACCAATTTTGACTTCTCACTCACTTCTCCAATACATTTCCTTCATGGTTTTTTTTTTTTTTTTAACTTTTTTTTAGAAAAGTCTTGCATTTATTCAAAGAATAAAGAAAAAATATTGAAACTTGGTTGAGCCATATAAATTGTACTTAAACAATAAACAATTCTCTTGGGACTTGTTTGGTTGACACTGACATTTTCTCCATGATCTAAAATACAAGGTTGTAGATTTGCAAATTCCCTTTTCTCGTCTACCTTATCAACTACCAAGTGGAGGTGTTTGTTACCAATCTATTAAAGCACCTCCACACAAAACATTGATTTGTTTTATGTATGTGGTTATTGGTCAGTTTGGTAGATAAACAACTTGCTTAATCAATATGACTCCACTTCTTAAAGACATCAAGCCAACCAAAATCTGTATTAACAATTTGTCTCAACTTAACATCCAACATTGATTCATTTGATTTTATGATGTTGATTTTGTGATCCAACTACTGGATTGCATTACCAATTTATTAATTTGGTTGAACATGTAGATATTAGATAGTTGTCAAAGCGGACGGTTTTCAGTTGTGATTACACACACACATTACATTAATATTTTGTACTAGTAAGCAAATGTCATTTTCAAGCATTCAAAAATTTTGGCCAAATCTTTTTTTTTCTTTTTCTTTTTCTTTTTTTGAGTAATGACTAATGAGATATATTGTTCCAACTATGCATTTAATTTGTGAACATATTATCTGCTATGAATATGTTTCAACTAACTTTTATTGATGTTTGATCTAATTGCACGTGCCATTGAACTAATGCATCTTATTGCAATGAATTCTCCTGTGGTTTGATCCGTTCTTACACATTTATTCTTCTATCAAAATTGATTACAATGACCAAAATGTTCATTAACTAAAATGAAAAGTCGTTGTTACCCTCATATTGCCATCAAATTACAAATATATATATATTTGCATGGACAAAATTGCCCTTCTTTTATTATTAAAAAAAGGTAATTTGACATATATAGATATTTTATCATTTAAAAAAAATAAAATATTAAAAATTGAGGGACAATAGAGTAAGAATGTAGTAGTAATACATAATAGCATGATTGTGAAAAATAATAATGTATAGTAAAAAAGAGGATTACAAGGGAAATTAGAAGCACAAAACATAATGAATGCATACCCTCTAGTAAGGTAGTCGAATCTAAAATGGGCCCTAAAACTCAGATTTTGATGAACACGGTCTGAATTAAGTACGAATGCTGACACTGTGTGGTTTGAGTAAATGTGTGTTGGGACCTGGTGTCAGTTGGTCCAAATAATTGCAACTGCATCTTAATTAATTACCTAGCTTCTTCTATGGTTGTGTTCCTACAATTTCCCACACTAGCAACTACAATTTCCGGCTGAGAGATGCACATTAAATTGGCCCGACTCTGACATTTGACAACTCAGTTTTTATTCAATTAAATTCAGATGTTTCCCCAATTTTCATTCTCAAGCAATTTCGATATCACACACAATTCACATAGAGATGAAGATGATTGTAATAATATATATATATATATATATATATATATATATGTCATTTTCACAGTCGATCTCAAACTCTATTCTTCATTCTTAACAAAATGAGGTGGTCTTTTTCTGTGTATTATTATAATCATTATTGTGTCAAGCTTAAGAGTAAAAAGTATGGAATATACTTTTGAAAAACTATATATATATATATATATATATATGGGCGAAATTGTCCCGCTGGTCCCTATATGTTATCCCGCCAGTAATCATTCTTTACACATGGAATACACTTTTGATATTAAAGGTTAAAATTATAAAATTTTAAACTAGCTTTTCTCGATTCCAAGTACAGGATTTCTATATTATAAACTCATAATTAAATGAACATAAATGATGTGGTACTGAAGTAGATTGTAGTTTGTCAATTGGATCTGTGGTTGGGGACAATTAGACGTATTGATACCTGGTATGTGATTCTTTTTGTATGCATATATATATATTCATATTCATGTATTATTAACGGAGTATAATTTAGGTCATATTCCGGCACCCAACTACTGGGGTATAATAAGTTCACTAGCCACCAGTGTGGTCGGTGATGGTAGCTTACCTTATTATTATTTTGATTGCCATTTTTTGCCAGTTTCAGTATATTTTTGTAAGACTCTGTAAATTTTAGTGCAAATGCGGAGGTTTTCGATCTCCCTAAGGCTCATAAGTATTAAATGATGGATTTTGAAATTAGCATTAGTTGAGTAACTCAATTGCATCCATCAATGACCAAAAAAAAAAAAAAAAAATTTGCATCCATCAAGTTTGAATTGTGATTTAATTGAGTTTAGATTAACTCGTTTAAACTCGATTATTCTAACTCAATTACATCCATCAATGACAAAATAAAAATAAAAAATTGAATCCATCAAGTTGAATTTTGATTTAATTGAGCTTAGATTAACTCGTTGAAAGTCAATTATTTATAATCAGGGGTCTTACTAATGTTATTTTCTTTACCTCACAAATGGATGGTGAGGGTTAGGATGTCAAAAGATAAAGTGGTGGATGCTTCTTATGAATGAAAAATAAATAAATGACAAAACACTCTTATACTTTAAAAATTGTATATAAAACTCTCGTTAACTTGATTGTGAAATGACAAAATTGACCTTATTTTTTATATTAAATTAACATATTAAAAATTATTATTTTAAAATTACAAAAATAATAAATGTATTCTTTTTTATTTTTTTTGTCGCCAAAAAACCCACATTCACTTTGAAGACTCGAACCCTAACTATTCATTTTAGGAAGTATAGAAAATACCATTGGGGGACCACAAAGCCATTGGTAATAAATGACCATTAAATAATGTTAAATTACAAAATTGTTTAAAATTACAAAATTATTATTTAATGTTATATTACAAAATTTAACTTGTTATTTTAAAATTACAAAAATAATTTTTAAAAAATATTATCCGTCAATTTAACATTAAATAGTAAGGTCAATTTTGTCATTTCACAACAAAATTAATGAGTCGGTCACAAATATGGGGCAACTCAATAACTTTTTTTTAGAAGAGTTTATAATTTTAACTCATGCTATGTATATAAATAATTAAATATCTAAATTATTTAAAATCAGTAGGTTCAAGTCCGGAAGTTTTAAGTTGAATACTATTTAAAAAATATAATATATATTTTTTTCTTTATTACGTGGTAGAAAAAACTGATATCAACTTTACATTAATTAATTAATTTAAAAAAAAAAAAAATTTTGAATTGGGTTATCATCTTTCCATAATTTCACTTTCTTAAGACTTATTTCTTTCCATTTCAATGCGTAAAAAATAGATCAATCCTTGTCAAGTGTGCTTGTAACATAAGGCGAATCTATTTTTTTAATTTTTATTTTAGTAATACTACAAAGAGGTCAACCTCATGACAATTGTCACGAGCTTAACACAATTTAAAAAAAAAAAAAAACATATACACTGCACAAATAATATCTGTCACATAGCCAACATTAAAGTAATCTCATTGTTAAAAAAATAAAAATAAAAGATCATAATAAAGACGTTCAAATATAATAATTTAATTTCATCAAATGACGTTAAAAAAAGAAAATGTAAAAGTAAATTTTGGTACTGTAAAATGAAGTCATGTGATCTAGTAAATAATTTTATGCACGAAATATTGATTGTTGATATAATAATATTTTAAATAATTAGTTGGGGGTCCAATTTTTAAATATGACCGCAACAAAAAGAAGGGTAACACAATTGTCATAAAATCGGCCTTTATTATTAGTATTATTATTATTATTTTCTGATTTGTTCAGGGTGTTTGTTGATTCATCATAGGTTATAAGAAAAAAGAAGAAGAGTAGTTTATGAGTTCTGTGAAACTAAACAAATTTCTTTCCTTCTCTTTTTCCTCTGTTTTTTTTTTATTAAAAAAATAAAATAAAAAATCATAAAAGCAAATCCATCATTTTCATTGTTGTTAATGCCTCCATAACGCTTGGCATTTATTTGATCTCCTTCTTTTTCATTTCACTCGCTTCTTAATACGTCAGCAAAAAATATAAAAAAATACATATGTTTATGTAAATTAACCTGAAAAAAAAAAAAAAAAAAAAAAAAACTAAACCAAATTGAAAGAGTGATCAAAATAAATTTATAATTTGTTATTTTATTTCTAACAATATTTCAAACAAGAGAGGCATGTTTATTTATTTCAATCTATAATTTAGTATCTCAAATATTAGTATGTCAGAGGTAAATGCAAATGACTCCCTGAACTTGGGGAAAAAACCCTAAACTATAAAAAAATTGTAAATAACTCTCTTGCTATTATTCAATTTGATGAAATTACATAACTATCCTTAAAATTTGAGAATTAAAAATATAGATTTTGAAATAAAAAATTATTCAAAATTGAATTAAGATCCTAGCCAGATTCTACTACTGAAATTACCAAACTCCCTGTCGAATCCCAAAAATGGATCCTCAATATATTTTTGTATATGAGTAATTTGGTTCTTAAAAATGCATATTTGTCAAAATATCATTCATTTTTGACTATGTTAAACAAAAATAAAATAAAATAAAATAAAATAACAGGCAAAGGACAATTTGCAAGGTTTCACAATAGTGGGTTATGTGCTAGATCTATAATTTAGAGGGGTTATTTGTAAATGTAAAATAGTTTAAGCTGATACTATTTGCAGTTTTTCTATATATAATTTATCAAGTCGTGGTTATCTTGAATCAATTTAATATTATAACATTTTAAGGAAAAGAAAGAAGTGTGGAGTTGAAGTTCAGATTATACTAATAGTGATTCACAATTTCACATGGTGAAATAAAAAAAAAAAGGAAAGAAGTAATATTATTATTTTACAATAAAAATATGAGATCGTATTAAAAGTATTCAATTATATTTATGTTAGTGAAAAGTGAAAAGGGAAAAATGACTAATCTCGCCTCTTTTATAATTATATAAATTAATATACTTAAATAAGAATGATAAAGTTTTTATGATTATATTCATTCTCTTTCTTTTTCCCTTTACCAAATAATAAAAATGTATTCCCCCCTCCTTTCCATCATCTTATATCCAATCAGATTTGGCAGAAAACATGAAAATAATGGTAATTTCCAGCTTTCTATAAATCGTCTACCACTATATCCACGTGCTGGCGATGCAAGCAACTCCAGAAATATATGAGTGGTTGATGTGGTTTTAATTTATTAAATTTCATTTTTTTGATGCAGCAGTGAAGTGTGATCCATTATTTTATTTTTCTGCAGGTTTTGGTCCTTTCATGTTTCTCATGTTTTTGTTCTCTGCAACCAGAACTCACTGAGTCCACTGCTATCTGATCAGGTTCCTGGGCACTAGGCAACACCACTCATTTGAAGAAAGGGGCACCCTTCTGGTCAAAGACTATTCTACCCTTTTCTGAATTTTGATGCAGAAATTTCTAATGGAAAGAACATGCATACCTAATCTGTTGGTAGTATATTTATGAAGTAGTTGCCTACATAATCTACAATTTAATGCATTATAATTTATAAATTCAAAAATAAACAAGTGCATCGAGTAATGATCTTTCTCAAGGGTACATTCTCTGTCTCCATGAGAAGTACGTTAATTTTGTGTCTTCACGCATTATGTTATAATAATATTGTAAATTCTCAAATATATTATTCTATTTCCCAACATATTAACTTTTGTTTTTCAACACATTTATTATGTTTTTTAATATCCTAACTTTTCAACACATTAATTTTATTTTTTAATACATAAAATATGACTGAAATAAGTAAGATTATAAAAAAGTAACACTTTTTTGTTTCTCTTGTACATCATTGCAAATTTTTCATGTGTGCCTCGAAATGTAAGAAATGAATCATTTTTTGATTAAATGGTTTGTAGGGGGATATTTAGTCACTCTGTAAGCCTGAAGTGATTTCTTACCAAATTTTTTTATTTGGTGAGAGAGAACAACTTCTAATTTATCATGAATTGTAGCTTAAACACACTTTCTTACATTTTAAAGTATAATTTCAAGAGTTAAAATCTGCAAAGGCAAAGTGGGTTGCCAAGGTTAAAAAAGAAAAAGAAAAATCTTATAGCTTAGGAAAAATTGAATTATATGATCTAATTTGTACTTCTAACCTTTTATTCATAAAACAGAAAGGAAGAAAAAGATAAAAGCGCAGGTACACTTAAAGGAGTGCTCTATTGGATACCTAATCTGTTGGTAATATATTTATAAAGTAGTGGCCTACATAATCTACAATTTAATGCATTATAATTTATAAATTAAAAAATAAACAAGTGCATCGGATAATAATGATCTCTCTTGAGGGTACTGTGAGAAGTATGTGGATTCTCTCTACCTTTGCACCATGCTATAATAGTATTGTAATACCTCAAACACATTACTATATTTCTCAACATATTCACTTTTGTTTTTCAAACATTAATTCTATTTTTTAATACATAAAATATGGCTGAAATTAGTAAAATTATAAAAAATAACACCTTTTTCTTTCTCTGGTACATCATTGTAAATTTTACATATGTACTAAGAATGCAAAAAATGAAATTTAAATCTAGGAGTTCAAATCTCTAAAAGGATAAAGTGGGTTGCCAAGGTTAAAAAAGTAAAAAAAAAAAAAAAAAAAAAAAAAAAAAATCTTATCGATTAGGAAAATTGAATTATATGATCTAATTTGTACTTCTAGCCTTTTATTCATAAAACAGAAAAGAAGAAAAAGATTAAATGGCAGGTACGGTAGCGTCTTTACACTTAAAGGAGTGCTCTATTGGTGATATATGATAATTAAACGCTATATATTTCTGGTCATAGATTCTTACATATTATATTGCATATACTACTATTTTATAATCTGTGTGTGTGTGTGTGTGTGAGAGAGAGAGAGAGAGAGAGAGAGAGCACTTTGGGTGTTTTGTTTGCCCAAACTTGCTTGGCGTCTCGAGCCTTTCAGAAAGAGATCCAAATAAATGACACTCATTCGATTCCCTTCCTGAGCGCTCTCTCTCTCTTGAGAAATTTATTCACCAAACCCAACCACACCTCACCACTATCCCTCTCTTATCAACACACACTCAATCTCTGCCTGAGATCATCACTACCCACCACACTCTGCACCATTTGTGTTATTGGGTATTCTCTAATTTCATCTCCCTCTGCAAATTCATCATATACATATATAGTGATTTCATTTGTTTCTGGGTTCTTGGTGTGGGTTCTTCCTATGGCTGCTTCTTCTGTTGTGTGCACATGGCTCGTGGCCGCTTGCATGTCAGTCGCTTGTGAAAAGGACCACACTATGATGAATCCGACGACCATGGCTCGCTCTTCTTCTCCAAGAAGGTTGAGTAGATGGGCTCGTAAGCGGAGGGTTTTGTCCAAATGCATCTCCGGTGGCACCGAATCTCCCAGAGGCCTAATCCCTTCCTTCTGTGGATCGAGCATTGAGGGTCTGATGAAGTCTTACTTGGCTTTCGAGCCCTGCGAGGCGTATTGTAGTTCCAAAGGGCTTACTTCTTCGGACTTATTCGGTGACAATGGGTTTGCTTCACTCTTCGGATCCAGAAACGCTCTGGTCACTCGCAAGCAGAGGCGGATTAATCGAGCCGTCCATTCTGGTAATCATGTTATTAGATATCCTATACTATATATCTATGAGCTTTTTGTGTTGACTGTTGGTGTTGATGTTGTGGGTGATTATGCATTTTTAAATGCATACTTTTAAATATATATATTTTTAATTTGGAAATCTGAGAGTTTAGTTATTAGATGATTTTTTTTTTTTTGGTTTGATTATTGCTAATCATGGGTTTACTCCTGAGTTTGATTTGGATTTCTCTAGGAAATTGATTTTCGTTTAATTCAATTTTTTCTTGGACGAAGAGCATGTGCACTAAATGAAGCCCAAAATTTGTAATTTGGAGAAAAAGTTACAAGTTAGATGATAATTTGTCTGCAAATTATTTATGAAGTAAAATAGCTCTGTGCAATGCTGTGTCGTAATCCAATAGCACTCCAGTCTCAATATTGGTGCAAAAATCTTTACTTTTTCCCACATCTGTCCCTCTACATTTTACCAATTATTATTATTATTTTTAATGTTGTTGAGGGTGGGTGGGGTTGGTTTGTTAATTTTGGTTATTATTGTCACTTGTAATCTGCCTTGCTGACTCCCAAGCTATCTGTGTTCTACAACATGAATATGAATGCGGACATAGCCACTTTAATTTTTGGGAATTCAGACATAGTTGCATTGCCTATGGAATTCTGACATATATATGTATACTTTTTTCTTAGTTGGTACACTCACACACACATGCCTCGACTAAGGCTTGAACCCCGGACCTTTCTTTGGGAAGTAAGGGCTTGATACCGCTAGGCCACCGGCCCCTTGGTAATTCTAACATATTCCATTGTGATATATATATATTTTTCCAGCCATTCCATTGACTGTTCGCACATGTCATGGGAAGAAATTGTTTCTCAGTTAGGTGCTAGGATTCATTGTCTAAATGTTTGAATGTTTACGTGGAAATAGTTTCAGATTACTGTGTTGACTCATGTAGTTTGAAACTTGTTCACATCCATATACCATACCTACCGTCTCACACAAATTGTACCGACACTTTCAAACACTATTTGTAATTTATATGGTAAAATTTTAGGGGAAGCAATGGCTGTAGCTATGCAACCTGCAATAGAAGTCACAAAAAGAAAGAAACCTCCTATGAAGCAAAGGCGAGTGGTTGTGACAGGGATGGGTGTGGAAACCCCAATTGGTCATGATCCAGATGTCTTTTACAATAATCTGCTTGAAGGTGTCAGTGGCATTAGTGAGATTGAGGCTTTTGACTGTACTCAATATCCAACGGTATATCTCGTTCATGATCTTTTCTTTTGCATGGGGGCTCCTGGTTTAGATCTTGATTGTAGATGTCTAAATACAGAGAATTGCTGGAGAGATCAAGTCCTATTCAACAGATGGTTGGGTTGCGCCAAAACTTTCAAAAAGGATGGACAAATTTATGCTTTACATGCTAACAGCCGGCAAGAAAGCATTGGCAGATGGTGGAATTACAGAAGATGTAATGGATGAATTAGATAAAACTAGATGTGGAGTTCTGATTGGCTCTGCCATGGGTGGCATGAAGGTAACCTTTGACTTTTCTGCAGATTAGAATGCGAACTGTATTTGATCGGAGAACATAGAGAAGTGTTTTTACTGTGCTTCTGCTAAATCATCTTAAATTTGTGGTTATCTAACACGTGTTTACCACATGTTACATCTTCTGTCTATGTGATTTTTATATGTAGTGATAGAGGCATTCCATAGTTATGCACCTAAACTACCTAAATGATTAGGAACAGTACTGTTTGATTCTTTTCTGATCGAAATATATGGATCCATGCATCTATGTGTCCATATAGATCATGTGACCCCTCTTCCCGCCACTCTCCTTTCAGTTACATGGACTCTTAAAATTTGTGTGATGTAGGACTGACATGCAACATTCGGATATGCATCTTAAGCAGTTCATCTCTCTTATTGTGTTTCTTTTGCTTCATCATTGCTTTAAAATGAGTGAATATTTGACTTTGGATAAATAATTAAATTATTATGCCATGTCTCCGGTATTTTGAGTCTGGAGATTTGATTGATCTCACATACCTGCAACCAACTCACACACCTAAGTCCATGTAATATAGATTTTAAAATGTAGAATGGCAGTGGCAGTGGCAGTTTTTTCTCTCTCTCTCTCTCTCTTTGTTGGTACTCACACACCCATGCTTCCACAAAGGCTTGAACCCCTGACCTCCCTTCGAGAAGTAGGGGCATGGTATCACTGGGCCATTGGCCCGTTGGTGCAGTGTTTTACCCATGTACTGGGATCCTCTTGGAAACTTTTCTGGCAGAAAGGGGATGTCGAGACTCCAATGTCTCCATGTGAGAGACGCAATACCTGCAGATGGGGGTAGGAAGCATATTTGTATAGCATCAATTTCTTGGTCGCTGATTCCTTTCCTTCCTTTGGGTTGTTTTGTAAATTAAGCAGGTTTTCAACGATGCAATAGAAGCTTTAAGGGTCTCATACAAGAAGATGAATCCTTTTTGTGTACCTTTTGCAACAACAAACATGGGTTCTGCCATGCTCGCTATGGATCTGGTTAGCTTAAATTAATTCGCTGCAAACTTGACATCCATCTGATGGGTTACAGAAAGTTTTGAATGTGTCCTTAAAGCTTTTTGTTTACGTGCTGAATTGCAGGGATGGATGGGACCAAACTATTCCATCTCTACTGCTTGTGCTACGAGCAACTTCTGTATACTGAATGCAGCAAACCACATCATCAGAGGTGAAGCTGTAAGTGTCTCACACATTTTCTCTGTCAAAAAGTGGAACAGTAGGACTTTCTTATGCGGTATACCATGTTAGTGGTGTTTTTATTTTTTTCTTTGACCAATTGAGCAATGATATAAAATTAAATTAGAAATAGTTGGAGTTCTACTGCAATATTTTCTGACATTTGTTAATAACTTTCAGGAAATGATGCTTTGTGGTGGCTCAGACGCCGCAATTATACCTATCGGTATTTCTTCCTTTGTTTGGTAGTTTATACTTATTTTACTAGCTTGAGGTTGTCGATTTTTATGATAATTTTTGGTGGTGTAGGATTGGGAGGTTTTGTGGCATGCAGAGCACTTTCTCAGAGAAACAGTGATCCTACCAAAGCTTCACGCCCTTGGGATACTGTAATGTCTGATAAATCTCGTGCTTTTGTTTCCTTGTCTTTTCTTCAGTCATTGTCAAAGTTTTGGGAGAGCGAGTTTAAATGAACAAAATTGGAATTGATGATTTGATTTACACCTACATGATATTTTAGTTAACTTGAAAAAAAATAATACACTAGGGTTGTAGTTGAACCAGACAATGACATTACATGATTATAGTTCAATGTTTTCTTTTAGATTCTAAAGGTTAATGGGTTGTACACGATTCTTAACTGAAATGCTCTGGCTTTTGTGTTTCTGAACTGTTGAGAATTTTCAAATCTCTGACAAAACAATCTCATTTAATCATGATTCTGTCAATGAACAGTTATGCTCAAAATCCCTATGCTGGTTCTTTCTTTCCTTGATCTAATTATGAGCATTGGTCACCATAGAATATGGTTTTGTCATTCAACAGAGTCGTGATGGATTTGTTATGGGAGAAGGAGCTGGAGTTCTGCTTTTGGAAGAATTAGAGCATGCTAAGGTATGCTTATAGCAAGTCTTTTATTTCATATTTGATGTAGAATTAATCCTATAGGCTAGTATTTTCCTTACCATTTCATATTTTTTCTTAATTTGCAGAAAAGAGGTGCAAATATCTATGCAGAATTCCTTGGTGGAAGCTTCACATGTGATGCTTATCACATGACAGAGCCTCATCCTGACGGTAATATTCCAAGTTTTCATACTAATGATTCTATGTATCTAATTATGTCGTGTTCTTCAACTCTTGCAAAATGTGCATGGCGTGTTTTTTTTTTTTACCCTTTATTTTCCTCTTCTCATTGTTATTAGTTGGTTACATGGTTCTATATATCTCTCTCACCTTTTTTTTTTTTTTTTTTTTTTTTTCGGGGGTTCGGGGGGAGAAGTGGGTGGTGCTAAGTTTGTTGGAGTTATTTATATTGCAAAAACTTCTTTATCACATGATTGTGTGTTGACATTAATATAGAAGTACTCATCTTGTTTCCACTGTTTTTAGTTTTTTGCGTAGGCTAGTGTATGGGTTAACATAGGTACGTGAGTTTTTTATTTTTATTTTTTTGGACAAAAATGTATTTGGTTGAGCTATTTGTCAAGTTAGAGTGCTTTGCCTAGAGAGACTTAATTATACATACAATTTAGGGTAGTCCAAAGCTCAGAGGAGAAGGTTGCATTAACTGCATATTGTGTCAAACCTTTAATCTTATGACCATTGAAACGTGCATCCTAATTTATCTATTTATTTATTTTATCTTATGCTTACCATTTGATTTTGTGCTTGTCAGCTTCCTGTCAAGGTAACCCTTGGTAAAGATACTGACAAGCAGAGGATATGTAGCCATCCTGAAATGATTGGCACAAGGCTTTAGGTTTATTGAGTTATTTGGGTAATGGTGCAAGGCATTGTTAGTTGTCGCGTCCTTGTGCTTTTGGTGTGCATCTAAACTTAATTTTCTATAAAACCACTGCTCATAGTTAGAAAATTGAAATAATAAATTTTTCATAGTTAGATAATTGAAATTCTAAAATTTTCGTATATAAAGTACTTGGGAACATTTATAAAAATTTAAGCAACAGACAAAACAAAATGCAACTTTCTAGAGCGGGTAATAAATACAGATGGAGAGACTTGGGCCCAAGACCTCCTAGAAGGCTAGAACCAAAGCTCAAAAACCATGTTTGACTACCAGTTGTTCAAATTAAGTTGTTAAGGAATGGACCAACACTCACAATCGATTCTTAGGGTCCACTGCTTAATGCTATGGTAAAAACTCAGGTTAACAAGCACGAGGACATGGTTTCAAGTCTCGAAATAGCTACTGTGTGCACAAATAATACCAAACTTTAGGCCTTTTCCGGTCTTCCCTTCCCAATGCCCCACAGACAAGACCAACACCTGGACAAAGGCTTTTTAGAATTTTGATGTTTCACACTTGAATGAATATAGATACAAATGATAATTTTTATTTTTATTTTTATTTTTTTTTAAAAAAAGAAGCTTTACAACAAAGTCAATCTCTCCCTTTGACTTCATTTGATTTGAGTAAGAGAGACTGTTTCCCAGGTTTGTAATTGAAAACGCATTGTTGAATTTTGCTAGATTACTTCTTAATAAGAAATTTTGCTAAATCGTTGAAATATTGGATGACTTTGTTTGATATTTTTCATTCAAATAAAGTCTATTCTCTTTACTGTTTGCTTTGTGGCATTTGTATTTATAGCACCTCGTTCTATAAATTTTATTTAAGCAACTCTTTTGAAGTTTTAAATGAATAATGACATTTCTGAGTGAGATGCATACAAGATGTTTCATATATGATATACCAAAAATCTATGAAGCACGGACACGGACACGAGACACGGGTACGATACGACACGGGTACGGCGACACGGCAAATTTAAAAAAATAGGACATGGACACGGCACAGATACGGCAATAAAACAATAATATAATTTTTATTATATATAAAAAAAATATTTCCTTTTATTTAATTTCTTATATATATTAATAAATACAACCCATATAAATTATATATATAATATTTACTATTTATAAAATAATATATATATATATATATGTGTGTGTGTAAAAGAAACAACACTGATGTCTCATCTAACCCCTCTTTTTCTCAATCTCTCCTTTTTCAGTGACCCATGTGACCATGTCTGATCCCCCTCTATCTTCACACACAATCTGATCCCCTTCTCCGATCCCCTCTATCTTCACACACAATTTGAACACAAAAGCAAACACGTCTCTGCTTCTCTGATCCTCATCTATCTTCACAATTTGAGATCCATAAACACAACATCAAAATCAAATTTACGCCTTCGTGTACCCCATCGTTCCGATCATTCTCTTAGGTCTCTCTATCTTCACAATTTTTACATATATATATATATATATGATACCATGTTAGGTTTGGCTCCCTTCTCAACTTCTTCCTCTCTGGCTCTCTTCTTCCTCTTCCTTCACCACTTCAGGCAAAAGAGGCACGGTGAAATATCTTAGTCCTGAGATGAGAATGCAAAAGAAGAGGCACAGTGGAATCAAATCGGTGCGTGTCCGATCGGTGTCCGGTGCGTGTCCGATCGGTGTCTGGCCATGTCCGATCGGTGTCCGGCTACATCAAATATATTAAAATATGCAAGACACGGTTAGAGCGTGTCGGACACGTGTCCAAGCCTGGGATACGCGTGTCCGTGTCGGACACGTGTCCGACACTGGTACGTCGACCCTTAGAGTCGTGTCGGTGCTTCATAGCCAAAAAATTTCAGCTTCTTTTTCAACACCTCTAATTGTGACCTATTGTAGGGTAGTCATGAATCACAATGCCCATGCCTATAGAACACTTGTAATGAATAACACATCATAATTTAGCACATTGATTTTTTACTCTTTAAGTTGTTTATTCTGTTCCTAAAATTTAACTTGTGTTACATGAACTCTTCAAATCTAAGTGAATTACCCGTGTCGGACACACAAAACTCGGACATGGTTACGGGACATGTGTCTGATACTTTTAGTTGCCCAGCCCCATCTCTACGGGATAAAGGCAAGGATGATGATGACGACGACAACTTTTAGTTGGACATGCACTGATGCACCTTAAAAACCCACCCAATAATTCAGTTTAATTGCATTATTTATTCAAATGGAGTGAAATGCATATGTTAAACATTACACAAAGACATTATTTTATTTTAAAAAATAAAATAAAATAATTAAATAGTATGAGGTTTTAGCAGTGTCCATGTATCCTTCTATTTGGGAATTTGACACATCCGACACATGGATATGTACGTACCCGAGTCCAGGTAACATAGATTATTTAACATCCTGATGGAAACTACTTGAATTTATTATATTTATGTAGGTTACATTAGAAAATTCTGGATGTTCAATTATTTGAACCAGGGATGATTTTTTTAGCTGCGTCTGTACTAATGCAAAATAATTGGTGTGCATGATTCATTTATCAGGAATGTAAAATAATTACTTAATTATGGATTATGAAACTATAATGCAACATATATAACATAATATCCCTTGTTTCACATCCATAAGCAGGTGCCGGTGTCATTTTATGCATAGAGAAGGCCTTAGGTCAGGCTGGAGTGTCCAAGGAAGAGGTGAACTACATAAATGCACATGCTACGTCCACACTGTCAGGAGATCTCAAGGAGTACCAAGCCCTCCTTCACTGTTTTGGCCAGAATCCAGTGGTAACTTAAATGCATATAATTTTCCTTTATGGCTATTTGTTTCTAAAATCATCATATGCATGCTTGATACAATGTTACTGTTCTTACAGTTAAGAGTGAACTCTACAAAATCAATGATCGGTCACCTACTAGGAGCAGCTGGTGCTGTGGAAGCTGTTGCTACAGTGCAGGTAATTAAAATATGGATTAAGTTTTGAAAAATACTGCAAAATATATATTTTTTGAATTAATATATCACTTTTGCAGTGGAATTCCTGATTTATGAAGTTTATTTATTTATTATTTTGGTAAATAAGAGGAGGTCGGGCAACTTATGAAGTTTATATACATGTGTGTATATTAGGCCTTCTAGCTGCTAATGACAAAATACTGTAGCCAACTGCTGTCTTCTGCGTCTTTATTTCAATTTTATTTTTTGTTTGTGGGGTGGGTAGGGGGATGTACGTTGGCAAAGGTAAGGAGCATTTTCCCATTCGCAGATATTGGTAAAGGTCACATATATTATTATATTTTTCTGTGATTATGTGAGCGTTATCTCATGCATCTTACACTCGGTCCAATTGCGGGCCTTGGCACAACAATAAGGTTGCTCCATTGTGACCTCCATGTCACGAAATCGAATCAAGGAAACAACCTCTCCACATGCGGAGGTAAGGCTGCATACATCTGACCCTCCCCTGACCCCACAACGGCGAGAGCCACGTGCATTGGCTAGCCCTTTTATAAAATTTACCATTATCTTGTGGTGGTAGGATTATGAGGATGATCACATTCACTTTCTGTAAACGTCCAAAATGCTAGCAAATATCAGTTAAATTTAATTATAGTTGAGAGAAATCGATTAAGATGGTTTGGAAGTATGTAAAGAAGACCACTTAGTGCATCAGTTAGAAAGACTGACATGATCCACATTGAGGGTAGTTCTAGGGGAAGGGGGGACCAAGAGGCCAAAATTAACATGGGTTGAGGTTGGGTGAAAAGATATGATAACATGTGGTTTGACTTAGGTTATGATCTTAGGTAGAGTGGAATGAAAAAATATGATTCATACAGCCAACCCCAAGTAGAATGGTATTTTGTTTCTGCTGTCAATAAAGACTACCTTGTGACTTCAATCAAGTTCAGTGTCGCAAATTTAAAGAACTTGTGTTGTACATGTGATTCTTGAAATATAGCTTACGGAATGGAATGGGATTGAGAGATTCTTGAAAAAATATTAGGGCCTGTTTGGTTTAGTTTTTCAAGGTTTAGTTTTTCAAAAATAGTTTTATTTTTTAAGAGAACTGAAAATCAGAAAACAGTACAGAATTTTGTATGATTGATAGTTCTCTGAAAACTCAGTTTGAAAAAGGCCTGTTATAGAACAGTCTTTTATGATTCTCTGGAAAACTGTTTTCCGAGTTCTTGAAAACTATTTTTAGAAAACTGAGCCAAACATGCCCTTCTACTTTAAGTCTCTTTTTTTTTAATTATATTATTATTATTATTATTATTATTATTTTGGGGGGGGGGGGGGGGTTGATTAACGTTCAGAAGGTGCAAGTTATATATGACTGGAAGAGATCCCCTCTACCCATAAATTGCATAATTCTATCCTATTGAGATTCAAGTCCTGCATCTGACTTGAGAGGGGGGAGCAGGTGATATCACATAAGCTAGACACCTGGTGCTGGCATATGATTTTGTCTATCCGAACTCTATAGGTATTATCCAATTTATATATTTTGTCTTTAAAATGTGTTGTAGCATAATGTGGATGAAAAGTAAAATGCACGAGTCTCCCAACGTGTTCATGGCTAGCCATAAAGCAACAAAGTTGATAACATGAGATCCTACAGAAAAATTCAACACTCCAGTCCTTGATTATGCTTCCAGCTGATTGACTTGAGCTTTTTCCTTCATATAAAAATTAAAAACAATGCAGAACATGTTAATTTTCATGATATCATGATATCTGAAGTTCTAGCAATATAAGGGATTTGTTGGAGGGTAAATTATCTTTTGAGGTCTTTATGTCCTCTAATTTTGCCTTTGAATGTTCCCGTTGGGTGAGGGATATGATTTAAACAAATGGGGTTGTAATTCGACTTATTGGAAGCTTCAATCACAAACTTAGTTATTGGATGCAGGTTAGTAGTCCAGATTAGGGAAATAATATAATCTGGCATAGAATCTTTCAAGAATCTCTAATGTTTCACTTGGTGAAATCATGTCTCAGCTATTGCATTCATTTCTATCACCGGTGTGGTATTGTTGTATTGGTGTGATTTGTTTCGAAGTCTTTTTTATATGTAGCTTTTTGTTAATACGTGTAATACAAAATCAAATATGCCTTCTTTTGTTTGGTTTTTTGTTCTTGATTTTCACCACTTAGTTGCAAACTTATAATAGATTTATCAAAATTGATGCTGAAACTTATATGGTTTGACGCCAAGTTTCTGATGATTGTTGACATGATCCTGTGTAATCATGTAGGCTATACGGACTGGGTGGGTTCATCCAAACATCAATCTTGAAAACCCTGATAAAGGCGTGGTATGTTTTCTTCTTTATTTAAAATTTTTTTTTGCATTCCATAGAAAAGGTCATCTAAACCTGATATTTGTGGCATGTTGTAATGTCTCATTTAGCCATAGAAAAGGTCATCTAAGCTGCTACTTTTTTTTTTCTTTCACAGTAGGCTTATTCCAATAGGGACTTGGGCAGCAATTGCTAAAGGGAAAGAAAGTTCTATTTTCTTTTTTGGACATTCAATTACACTTATGGTTGAATAATTTCGATTTTCTTATAATTTGGTGTTTTTTTTTTGGCTACTTGATATGTGGGATGATTTCTGTAAATCAATTAAACTATCATATTGATTTAAGGCATTGAATAATCTAAAACTATGCCTACGCATCTAATCAGGACACAAATGTGCTGGTGGGCCCAAAGAAAGAAAGGCTGGACATTAAGGTGGCGTTGTCTAATTCGTTTGGCTTTGGTGGCCATAACTCGTCAATCTTATTTGCTCCTTACAAATAGATCCTGTGGACTTCTCCAACTTGGGATCAGATGGTACCAAGGTATTTGGCATGTTATTAGTATTTTTTTTTCGAAGTAACCATTGGAATTGGAGTATGATATAAAACCAAACTGATGGTAGCGTTATCGTTATTAAAGCTCATACTTCGATTATTTGTTTCTTTATTGCTACATGATAATAGAGGGGAGCTATTCATGATATTCAGTTTGAATTCATTGAATAAAAAAATTAGAAGAAAAAAAAGAAGATATATGCATTAGATTCAGTTTGCAGGACACGTAGAAAGAATTATTCCTACATCAGTCTTGGGTTCAAGCTACTTCCATGAAATATTTTAAGAATTTTAGCTGTATTAGTGGAAAACTTTAATTGGCTGATCATATTTGACTTGTAAGAGTTGATTGGCTTTGCTGTGTCTTGCAGTTTCTTGCGGTATCCTTCTTCGTTGTGTCTGATCTTCTATATGACTGGCCGAAGAAATGAAACTGTTTGGACAGACCGAGGAGGTGGCCCTCTGGAATTGGGGAAGGGACAAATACAGAGTTCCCCCATGGCTACCATGATGATACTCCTGTTCTGCTTTTTGATGAGTTTTCCTTTCCTCCTTTTAATCCTTTTCTCCTCCTCCTAAAAAGTTACACTAGGGCTTCAGCTGGCGGTCTAATACGAGCCATGCTTGAGTTCAACTACTGTTTCCTTGTACAAGTAGATGGTCCAGTGAAGTTTTAACGAACGATTGTATCAAACTCTAACCTGGTAATTTGCCAATGTTGGACATGTGAAATGTTGGTTATATTGCGCAGAAGTTGGTTGCATTATTATTATAATCATGGAAGTGAAATGATGTCCATTGTGGCCCTAATTACAACGTTGCTTTCAGTACTTTTTCTATGTTTTGTTGCGGATGGACCCGTAAGGAAAAATAATGTTATCATGTCACCCTATGGTTACTAAGCATAGGGCAAGAAAAATGCATAATTTGGGAGGTCCATCCACACCTGGTACCACTTGGTTAACAGATCAAACCAATCACATTACCTCAAAGAGGAAGTTACTACCCAAAACTCACGACAAATTAAAATAAGGGTAGTTTTGTAATTAGCTTTAGGTCTAGCCGAATGTGGACCAATAATAAATAGTGATACAAAGAAGACAAGTCTATTTTTGCATTTTGGCGACGACTATAACTTTATAATAAAAAAAACAAAAAATAGTAACTGTTTTTTTTTTATACTATTTATTTTCATATGCTAGTAACTGATTTCAAGTATTTTCATATATGAATGCATGGTGCAACTACAGTTTACTCACCACTAAAGCGTGTGCATCTACGAATGTCTTGTGCTATATTGTTGGGCTTGGGCCTGTGGTGTTTTACTTTTGTTCTCTTTTGTGTTGTAGCTCCTTACTGCTTTTGCTGGCCAGTCCACAATCGTGGGCCTCATTCGCAAATGATTTGTATTCTTTTGTATTTAATATATACTACTAACTTACCTTCAAAAAAAAAAAAAAAATCTACGAATCTAACAACAGCTTTTTAAGATTAAGATCTTTCATTTACCATGTTGTGCCTTCATTCACCAGATCCATGCTGGGCTCACAACAAATTCTAGATCACGATAATTCGTGATACCGTAAATTCAAATTACCTGCTTAAACAAAGAAGCAAAGAAGATGAAATCAAAGTAGTTGTTCTATTTACTGAGGTGAAAAATCAAAGTCGCCTCTATAGTTATTTTTTAAGAAAGAGAAGAAAAAAAAAGTAATTAGGGAAAGAGAGAAACTTTAGTATATCATTATAGCTGATGAACAAGTACTATAGTACAGTAATATATTACAGACACATATAGAAGGGTAAAATAGAGAAGAGAAGAAAAACAGAGAGAGTGAAACACAGCACATACATAGACGCAGCAAGCATGCGTGTATATATCACATAATAGTGTAACAAACGAAATCACAACCGTCCAATCTTCAAGGATTCCCAATGGGTTTCCCACGAGGCTGATCGAGGCGACTAATGAGGTAGAGGGCGTTACTGGTGACTCTGGCTACATTGGTGACCTTATGCTTCACATCAGACCTCACCTTCCCATCAATGTCCCTGAACCCATCAAGGCAAGTGTCCTCATTCGTCAGCGCCGCACTCACCCAAGTCTCCGCATTGCTCATGTGCCACCTGAACGCCGCCCCGCGAAGCTCCTTCAGCTCCGTCAGCGTCATGCTCAGCTCGTCCACCGAATCTGCTATCTGGTCCACGCAGTCCTTCAGCGCCGATTTCTCTCTCTTGCTTCCGCTCCTGAGCGTCGCCAGGAAGCCCGACACTTTCTTGGTTCGGGAGATGCTCACCTTCACGGCGGCCTGGGCTAGGTCCCTCGGCGTCTTGGCTGGTCCCACGTACGACGAGAGGGTTTTTAGGCAGATGTCAGGGTAACTGGCGTGGACGCATGATGAACGGACCAGATCTTTTGGCTCATCGGCTTTTTTTGATGAGGCGGAGTAGCAATGGGAGGAGAGAGAAAGTGTGAGCAAGAAAACGAGGAGGAGAGAGAAACACGGTGGTGCCATTCTATCTATCTCCCTCTCTGTTACTACTGTCTTCTGTTGGGGTGATGGCAGGGATAGACACACACACACACACACACACACACAGAGAGTGGGGGGTGGTTGGTTAAATAAGGGTGGGTGCGTAGGATAAGAAAGCCAGAATTCAGTGGGGTCCTTTAAGTTGGGGCATAATTACGGTGCCATTCTTTTGGGTTGATGGCAATTTGGTAGTTGAAGTGAGGGCAGTATTGGAAGAGGAGAGATGGGATAAGAAGGGAGTAAATGCACCGCAGCTAATTGCAGCATTGGCCAGCAATTCGAAGTCGGCACTTGTCAATTATTGCTTTTTTCACCGCCTATGTTTACCGGCAATTGTTCAACCTCTTTTTTTTAAAGTGAAAAATTGATGACTAAATAATATTTATTTATTATTTTTGTTTTGCTTTGTTTGGTCAATAACTTTAGTAATGATCAGTTTTCTGTAACAGATGAGCTTTGATTTGCACTTTTAAGTCTACTTTTATAAACTAAACTAGCATTAGTCATTTACGTAATAACCATTGTGACCGTTCTTAGCTGCGGCATATTTGTTGTCACGTCATGCTGTTAGGCGTTTTGTGATGTTGTCACGAGAACCACACTATTCAAAAATTAAAACGAGACTGTCCCTTATTATACACAAAAAGTGAGACATTGTTGTATTTCGAATTTCAAAATTTTTAACTTAATTTTTGACTTGAAGACAAAATGGTACCCTGTCATTGATGAGTACTCACAAGTTTGCAAATAAAATGAAAATGATGGGTCACGCTAGCCGTATGTGTTGCAGAGAGTCACGTGACCGCTGTAAGCACCTGTTGTTGCTGCGCTGTACTGGGCTGGCTCTGCTTTAATATGCAAATGGGACGTGTTTAAAAATAAGTTACTATTACAATAATGGATAGTTCAAGGGTCCCACAAGCTATATAAACAACTGATATATACTTTAACCCAGCAGCATCAAGCACATAATAAAGTGTGTGTTTTTTTTACGATCCAAAATTAAAGTAGTGTGAGAATTTTGTTTGTTCTCTTGTTTTCGAACGCCGTGAAATGAAAATGATCATAACAAACAAGGGTAAATTAAAGGGAAGACATGGCATGTGCGACTTAACAGTCATGCAGGGCCCCCAACCCACGCCGAGGCCCAGGCCTAGGCCCATGCCCATGCCCAAGCCCTCCTTAAATATTACCGATCATATATATGCTAAGGAATTTCACACTGCCCTGATCCATTGCTTTCGATTCATAATAAATACAGCTTCAGATTGAATAAGGATCACGATTGATGAAGCAAAGGTCACTAAATTGGGAATTTTTTATTTTTTTTATTTTAAATTTGGTGTAAAGGTAGAATGAAGATAATTTTAAACTAATTGCTTTAAAAAGAAAAAAAGAGAAAATTTGTTGGGGCACTTAAGAAATTGACAGAACCTAAGTCCATGTTTTGGATATATATAGTTCACTAAAACTAGTAATACTTTTTTTTTGTTTTTTTTTTTTCTTAGTTAACTAGTAACACTTGTAATACACTTGTAATGAATAATATAGATTATATGTACCATTGAAATAACTATCCTTTGGAATCGATCAATTTTTATAGGGTTTTTTTCGTTAATAATATGTGTTGGGGGTACTAAATCGATGCTCTGAAGTTGAAATTAAAAAATATATATATAATTAATAATTAAATTTCTTCTAATTCCAAATTCCTCCCAAACATAACATAAATTATTTTGAAACGAATTAGTCCCAATCGAAATATATATATATTTTTAGATAGATAAAAATACTATTGTTGCTAAAAAGAAGACAAAAATAGAGTATGGTTATTAATTTCCAAAATAAAACAATATTAAACAAGTATTCATTCATAAATTGCACAATTATATGAATGGTTGGATGGTGTGTGTTGTTAAATTAATTTCAAAATGATGAAATGAAAGATGGAACGTCTCTCAATCATGTGAGTCCCATGTGAATGCATCTCACCAGGATTGTGCATCATTCGTCCTATCATTCCAGCATCAAATATAGGTTTAAGTAAAAAAAAAAAAAAAAAAAAAAAAAAAAAAAAAAAAAAAAGAAAAAGAAAAAATCAATCAACTTGTAAAAGAAAGAAGAAAAGAGAGGGTGGGTGTGTTTGTCCTGTTTCAAAAGAATGGGTTCCGTGCAGACATGGCTAATTGTTAGGAAAATGTTTGGAGATGGATCCACAGTCTTTTATGAGTGAGATTAGTAGCGAGTGGTATTTTCATTGGCTTTTGATGACACCTTGTCTTTCCAATTCCTTCACATTTGGGCCCCATGTTTTGTAGATTATTACAATGTGACGCACAGTAGTCCCTGTCTTCATTCTGTTTTTTAGGCACACACATTAGCGTGGAAGTAAGTGAAAACACACATCCATCGCTACGTCATACAATTATTGATCCATTCACAAGACTCAACCCCATGCAATGCTTGTCTCTTGCTGCTTCCGCTGAATATTTTTCACTTAATTATTGATTTGTTTTGGTAAACCAGAGGTCCTGACGCCTAAACATGATGGAGAGAGTTTGGATACATATAGGTGAGAAAAAGAAGAAGATAATATTAGTTTTAAGCTTGTTTTATAATATAATTTACAATTCATATAAAAGAATAAGCATCGTTTTAAAAACTTAGGGGTAAAATTTTATGCGAGGAAGATTGCACTTTTACTAGAAATTGAGTCCTTAAAATTCAAATGAGTAGCAAAGTTCTCCAATTATAATTACAACTTAAGAGAGGGAAATATAAAGTTAGGTTTTAAGATTTAAACGCTTTAGTTATCAGTTTTATCAATGGCCTCCTATATGTTTTTTTGTTTCCGTTTCCTTTCGTTTTTTAAATGATAGACAAAAATATAATTAAGGTTTGAGTTATTTTTCTTCTATCTCATTCCTTTCCTTCCTCATTTTAAGCCACATACGTTCCTTTCCCTTCCTCCTCAAGGGTTTTAGCATGTCATCGTACCGTTATTTGATCATACACAAATATTATCTAAAAATAGACAATCATTAATGTAAGAATGAAAAAGAAAGTTGGTTATTTTCAAAATCCGAAGTACTGAAATACCAATCTTTTCTACTAAAATATGTGATTCACGAATCACATCCATGAAGAGAAAGGCTGTAAATGCAATACTTTAGACGCTAAGAACATGTGGTCCATCAAAATAAAAAATAAAGAAAGAGAAGCAACACAGATAGAGACGAGAGAGAGCTATCATATGGCGGGGTGTAGCTATTTTTCATAAATTTAGCATTAATTGTGACATATAGAATGATGTTAAAAGAGCAACAAACAAACTTTGTGATAAACAACGATAGGGTCGAAGAAAGGAGAGTGATTAGCAAAGAAAATGTAGTGACTAGTGTGCATCCATTAATTAACAAGCTTTTATGTCTAATTAATGACGAGTACGCGATGAATTAGGTGGTTCCATATTCACATTAATGATAAATGTCTCAACCATCCGCTTGTACAAAAAAAACTTTTTGATGGACCTTCTTCATTTAATACGTTGAAACACAAATATTTAATTCATCTTAGTTGGCTTGTAGCCAACACCTACAACCACCACATTTTCCTTAGAATTTTGGTTACATCATTTTCCTTCATCACATGACACCTTTGTATGGTTGTTAATCTGATGTTCTACACCCTTAAATATTGTCTTCCCCGTACTAGATCTGTCTGCAGTGTTGTATATACCACCGTCTCCGTCACTAAAGTTTCGGAGATGAATGAATTGCATATGTTCCGTGATTAATTATGAATTATTTTAAGAGTTCTGATACCACTTTTATTGATAAAAAAATAAAAATTAAGTACTCGATGCGTAATTATTGGTCATGCTTGAAAGCATTGTTTGGAGAATAGTGCGTGTGTAATTTACCAAAAAAAAAGAATAGTGTGTGTGTTTTTTTTTTTCATCTTTTACGACAATCATGATTTTTTTGTACGTATACCAAGCATAAAAGGCCATTGCATTGATTGTGAAGAAACTTTTCTGAACACCAACATTCTCTTTGGTAATCTGAATAGTGATCTGATAAAATATTTGAAGCTCGGAATTAATTAATTTATTTATTTTTTAGTAAATTCTCAGAATTTATTTATTTTAATAAACATAATTATTTTTTTTTTATTTTATTTTTGATGTTGAGAAAGGCTCGTAATGTCAAATCATTTATTTGGCACTCCTAAGTGTATTGAATGAATTTGATTATTATGTGGTGCAACTACACTTGAGTTGAAGCCCCGCAACTATATTGACGGTTCATTTAGTAGGGAGGAAGAGTATGGTTATGAATATTGCTAAAATCAATTTTCAATTTTTTTGGGGGCTAATATCTAAAGAAATAAATGAATAGATTCAAATACACTCCAGTTTTTTAAGCTGGGAGATCTCTACTATCGTTCAAGTATTTCCGCACACATTTCTTAAATTGTTATCTTATTTGAAACTCGAAATTTTTAACTTTTCAAGGAGGAAGAGGTTAAAGATATAATTAAAACGGTAAGAGTAGTGAACTTTTCTATTAATCAAAAGATTGTGACTTTTTTTTTACATTAACAAATGTTGCTAATAACTCTTATACCAGCAATAAATAGGAAGATCTCGACCTCTTGATAGCCTATATATATATATATATATAAAATGATTTATAAGACGATTTAATTATTGGGAAAAACAAAAAAAACAAAAAAAAGAAGAAGAATTAAACCACTTCTGTTCAATCATGAGTTTTGTTAATTTAGAGAATGAAAATGGTGATATCAAATTGATGATGAGTAATTATAGCATTTTATTGTGATGGAAGAATTGTGTTGCAAGGTGCACACACATAAGTGATGATAAGAGAGATCACGAAATGGGGAGCCGACCCACCTTAGGCATGCCCTTCTTAATGTATAAATTAATGAGAGCTTTATTCAGTTGAGACTTTTCTTTTGCCACTCTCATGGGAGAGAATATCATTTTTTCTTCTCTTCTCTCTCTCTCTCTCTCTCTCTCTATATATATATATATGTTATAGATGTCTCTATACACAACGACAGCAGCCAAACATTTTTTTTAAATTTTTTTTTTTTTTGTGTGTATATTTATTTATTTTTCAAATAATAAAATAAATACATACACATTTTATCCACGTCACTCTACTCGACTCCATGCAGTAAATACATACCTATTGTTGATCAGATAAATCTCTGGACAGTGAAATTAACTCAGAGCCTTCTATATGTTCTATATGCATATATAATCTATTTTGTTTTTATTTGATAAGTGTTTGTCCCCACTGATTTTTTTGGCCTGGTGAATAAATAAATGAAAGAATATACGAATAAAATTTTAAATGATCAACACCAAATTTTAATTGGGTATTGTTCCTCTCTCTCTCTCTCTATATATATATATATATTATAGAAGAAAAAAAAAAAAAAGAAAAAAAAAAAAGAGGGTTATCATCTCTAGATGTCCTCCTACGCAAACAAGAAAGAAAATAAAAAGTCTATGGGTAAAAGAAAATACCAAAAGAAACCCACAAACAAACAAAGCAAATAAAAAACAGATAAGTTAGAGAAAATAGAAAAAGAAACAAGTAGCAAATTGACCAAAAAGTTCGAATTTTATTTGGATAGAGCGACACCACTTTGTCTTCTACAGACGATTTTATTAGGGGAAATAATAAGTATACAACTACATACACTTATTATATTTTACCCTTTTTTTAATTATTAAAAAAAAAAATAAAAATTGATCACTCATCACTCCAAGCAAAAAGATAATTATATAAAATAAAAATAAAAACTTTCTTCCATTAAAAAAAAAAAAAACAAGTTAATTGCGAGTGCATAGAAAATAGCTTGGTATGAATATATCATTAATTTCCCCAGTGATTACACACAATCATATATACAATTCATAACCTTAAAATCCTACATTTAATTAAGACTACCAGCTCCAACAAAACATAAAACTACCAGAGACGGCACTGTTTCCGTCTACAACCATCCCATAACCTAACAACGTTACCGTCAAGCACCGTCAGGTCCTGCAAACGGTACAACCCCATATCCCCCATTCTCATCCTCAACATTCCCTCCCAACCGTCGTCACACCACGCTCCTCCTCCACCCTTCACCACCCCATCACTGCCGTCATCATACTCTCTGGTCAACGTCACCCCTTCATCACCACGTTCACATTGTTCCTCCTCGTAGTACAACGTGAACTTGTTCCCTCTGGTCGCTCCATCACTCTCCACGTGACGAACCCACGGAGTCATTGTAGTCAAAGGAGCCGGAGCTGGGGATGGCTCAGCCGCCGTGGGAGGCAGAGGTGACGCCGCCTTGGGTGGACCCACATCTGGGTTGGGGCAAGGTGGGTCAGATATGGATGAACCGGAAGCTTTGATCCTCCAAAAACTGACGGCAGCCGTGATAACGGCGATCCACGTCCATATGTTATTGACTACCGTTAAGAAGCCAAAGCTGACATAGTTGAAGGCCAGAGCTTCAAGAGGAGAATCAAAAGACTTCATCATCTTTCTCTCTCGGCTCTATGGGGGGAGGGGGTTTCTCTCTCTAAAAATGTGGGTGTGAGTGAGTGTCCGGGTTTGTGGCACTCAAAGTCAGGGTGATTTATTTATTTCTAATGGGACAAGGTGAGGTAGTGGTAAGAGGAAATATGGGCCGTTGGATGTGATAGGTGGAAGGTATCTGACAATAGATGCCGAGTATCGAATCTCAGATGCTAAGGTAGATCCAATATTTATACCGAATTCGTAGAGTGATGGTTCTCATATGATACTCATGTGTTGGCACATGTGTATCCAGTTTCAACACGCGAATTCTCTACCATCCACTACCAAGGACAAAAATGACTACTACTGACTCTTTCTTTGTCGTGGCTACAAGTGCTTCTCTTTTGAGGGCGATGCAATTAATCCAATGATGCCTACCTTACCTCATCAAAATCATAATCATAATAATAATATTAATGTCATTAAGATATAAACCGCCTTATTTAAGGCATGGATTAGAAGATTTACTAAATGGGTGTTACTCAAGCGTTTTAGTTTTTAAATTTGGTGTACCCGTGTTCAAGTTTTTCTTTATTACTTTGTCAAAAAAAAAATTAAATAATTAATTTAATTATTCAAATTATATATATATATATATATATATATATATAACTATTTCAATTAATTTAGCTGTGGAATACTATATTTAGAGTAGTAAATATAATATTATACTAACTTAGGGTTTGTTGTATATAAGGGCATGATCAAATTGTGGAGAATTCAATAATTTCTTTGATTTTTTAAGTCTTAGAAATTTATTTATTTATTTATTTTTGAATGTTTTCAGTCTTAGGTTCCTAAAAGAGGATTTGACATTGAGACTTTTCTAGATGATGGTTTGTACTTTGTACAATATGACTCTAATGTTTGTCTTAACTATTATTCTTTAAGTACAATTTAGAAAAAGTGTGATGTAATTACCTTCTCAAAGTTTGCAAACTTAAATAACAACACCCCTAATTATGATAAGAGGACGTAATTATCTTTTGACTTCTAAATTGACCCATTTAAATCATTAAAATACAAAATTAATCTTTATAAGTCATTTTATTTGACCAAAATGATCCTTAGTAAAAAAAAAAAAATCAAACTCTGCCACTGTGGCAACGCCATATGCATACAGACAGGGGCGGAGCCATGAATTTTATGCATACAGATAGGGGCGGAGCCATGAATTTTAAATTGGGAGGGATAAACTAGTAGTGGAAAATTAAAATTTTAAAATAATATAAAATTATTGTAAGAATTTTTTATTATTATTTTTTGCATATTTAATGTGTGAAATATAGGGGTATTACACTATGCCCTTGCTGAAATAGATAGATTAGTTATATTATCTAATACTTAAATAAAGTTTTCATACAAAACTCTGACTTTCCATCTCAAAAAGTAAGAAATATAATTTTTAAATATATATGTTTGTATTATATGATAGTAAAATATTTTTATATTAAAAGATCATTTATAATATTTAAATATTAAATATCACCTTCAAGTAATCATACACAAACTAATTTTTTTTTTTCTTGGTGTTTATTGAAGCATTACTTACACAACATGTCACATTTTTCTTCCACAAAAACAAAAAAAAGAGGAAAATAAAACATGTCACAATAAAATTATTATTATTTCCATTTTTGAGGGCCATTTGGGTCAATTAATAGGAGGTTATAAAGGTAATCTAATGATTCACATGTGTCAATTTAGAAGTCAAAGGGCAAGTATGTACTTTTATCAGGAGTTGTCTTTGTTCATTTTACCAAATCTGTAAAGTGTCATTGTCCAAAAAGTATTTAAGTTATATTATCTTTAACTCAAATATAAAGTGTCAGTACAATTTACCCTTAATTTTATTTGACAAGTAAGTTGAAATTGAATTATGAACGAAGGCACAAGGTGAAGGCGTTGTGTAGGCATCATATTGACACACCATGAATCACAATTGCCTGTATGGAGGATGATTACAATTGAAGTTTTGAAAAATAAATAAAAATGTCACAATTATTGGTACGTGTTTGTCAATTTATTAAAATTTGAAAACTATTTAGATCGATTGACTGAATTACATTGAAAACTTAAGAAAAATGCATCGACTCTAATTAGTTGTTGTTTCAAAGTGCGGAACAATAACGTGTTTCACGAATCTTAACAATGGGCATATATACTTAATTTTGTTTAGGGATGGATGCACATTTGTAGTTACTTTTAGATGTAAAGCGGAAAGGTTAGAGTCAAATATGTAGTGTTGGTAAAAGGGGTGAGCCAATTAATTGGGAAAATGTAGTATGGGTTGGTTGGAGTTGGTCCACAGTAATAATGGAAAATAATTATTAAGGATGGTGACAAGTAATTGCGAGATTAGGTAAGGTGTGAATTTGTTGAAATTTCAACCTTAAAATAAATAATGCATGGTCGTTCCACGTGATTCACAAACCTATATTTGCTCCGACCACTTTTTTTGAGGTTGGTTTAAGGCTTCATTTGAATTTGAATGCAAGGATTTTGAATAAATACATTTAAATTTAAATTTAATTGTGCAAGAAAGAAAGTGATTTTCAATGGTGGCAAAGGAAACAGAGTTGAGACGGTATTTTATTAAAGATTAGTACCACGTCACATAAGTGCATCATATGGCTGTTGAAGAGTTAATCTTTCAATTTGGCCGTTTGTTTCGATTAAAATAGCATGATTCATGTAAGAAATCTATATATATATATATTCAAGATCTTAATGCTGAGTTATTTTTATACTGCGGTAAATTACGTCCAAATATGTGAAAGACGTGATTGGAGTGGGTAGGGCTTCATATGCTGGGGACTAGCTAAGATGTGTCTTCTTCAGAGACCAGAGCTAGTTTTGTTGCAGAAAAAGCTGACCATTTGGAACCGTGTTGCACTCGAAGATGTGGGATATTTGAAAAAGTACGAGAATTAGATAATTGATTATTCAGAAATTGTCAAGAGACTTCTAAGCAAACACAAACTCGCTAATTGTGGGACTTAATTCTGAATTTCTTTTATTTGGGTACAGAAGTTATACCATTGGGTTAAAAATCTTTTGATGAAGGTCTGTTCGGTGGTTATTATTATTATTATCTATTCATATTACATTATCAAGAAACACACTCATTTTGCACAATTTAATTTGAATGGTAAATGCGATACCACCAAGGCACAAGACTCACAGTAAGTTATTATCTGTTTGATTGTGTTTATTTTGATTTATGAATACTCCTTGCTTTGAAATACATTAGGAAAATAAATATATGTGTATTTTACGTGATTAACCATATTCATATTAAAATAAAGTTGATAATGATATTTAAGTATTATTTATTTATTTTAAATTTTTTTGTATCATCGTTGTTTAGGAAAAGTGAGTAGAAGAGCCATGAAATAAGGACCCCTTGCTCCCCAATCCCACATTATCTGGTGGAGGGTGTAGATGGCTGACGTTAACTAAAGTATACCATAACTATAGTGAACGTGAATAGTTGGTTTGATCAAAAGTAAAAAAATGGTTGATGGAAATAATAAACAAACTCTTTTGGGGGCAGACTATATATCTCTATCACAACAAACATTGTTATTTATTACCAATTTTCAACTTTGTCTTGGACAGTGATGCTTTTATCATAATAATAAGAAATAAGAAATACTGATATTTCCATGCCTTCCCGTCTCTTGAAGGTAGCTGAGAATAATATTGATAGATGCCTAATTCTGATGCATTGCTAATTTGTTGCAAATATGTCCATATTCATCATTCATGTAGAGTTTTTTTTTTTTTTTTTTTTTTTGACAGACTCCAATTGATATGGGTATATTTACATGTGCAAAGATCATATTTAAAGATCTTGTTTTTAATTTTTGTTGGAAACCCTAAATAGAAGCTGTAAACCACCAAAAAAAAAAAAAAAGAAAAAAAAAAAAAAGAAGAAGAAGAAGAAGAGTAAAGCCTCATCAATTTATTGATTTTGTGCATCCAATTGATCCAAGGTTCTAAAGCCTCTCAACTGCACCAACAATTAATATAAGTGAGAATGCTGTGTTGTCCCCATAATACTGGTCTCATATGTGTGTGTTAGTTTATAGTCTTTATTTAAACTCATTAATCTTCATGGGCCAGCAGAGCATGGTTTGGGCTTACTGAACAATTTATTTTACATGGAGTCTATAGACGACACATGCAGAGCAGGACTGGCTCTGGGCTTTAGAAGTTATTTGTGGAGTCTGGGCCTTATCTCACACGACTCAAAAACAAGTTACCATGGCACAATGGAAGTAATATGACACAATACAAAGATTGGAGATATGATTCTTATTATTACATTTACTTACTCCCCCAGTCTAAAAAATATATATAATTTTTTAAAGAAACAAGACATGTCACACATGTTTTTTTAAAAATTTCTATTTCCCAAAAGCAACATTTAAATTAGAATAGAGGGAATAAAATAAACAAGGTGATCAATTGATTTAAAAATATATATTAACATGGTTGGGTTGATATATTAATTGCACTTATTAAAAAATGTTAGACATTGATTCTATTTTTTAATTTTATTTTTTTGTTAGTTAACAAACGGTCCATTAAATAATATTACAGTTAAAGACTGTTTTAAATAAAATTTCAAAATTACCCCTTTTCTTAAATTATCTGAGTCACGTTCTTAGCCTGTCACCCCTAGATTTTCTCATTAAAGAAAAAAAAAAAAACAAACACACACACAATCCTATTCAACAACACATATGACAATGCCTTTGTTTCTCCTTCTCAATCCATTATTCAGGTACATCTAGTTGTCCCTATTTTGTTTGATAAGAAAATAATAATAATAATAATAATAATGGGGAAGAAATTGATAGCACTGTGAGCAACAATGCATTTTGGGCACTTCGCTGAGCTTCCCAGCCTTCCCTCTTGTGCAGAAATAAATTTATTAAAAAATAATAAGAAGAAGAGAGAGGGGTAGGGTTTTGACACGTTTCTAATCATTAGAAGTTTGGCAGGCAAATAATTAGGGATAGTTTTGAAATTTTATCTAAAAAGGCTCTTACCGTTAATTTTGTTTATTAGACTGTTTGTTGACTAGCAGAAAATATATAAAAATTAAACTAATTAATA